TTCTGCTGGCTCTGCCCTTCTCTGTGACTGTCTCTGGGGCTGCCTCCTGCCCAGTCACTGTGGCAGGGTGAGCCCTGAGACCCTAAAGTGTAATTCTGAGTTTTCCAGTTCCTGGAGTAGCCCAGCCTTAAATGACAGACCCCTTCCAAGAGGGCTTCTGACTATCTCACTCCCAGGTAAGGTGGGTGCTGCAGTGACTCCAAGGAAAGCCGCGTGCTGTACCTGCAGCTTGACGTAACGGTGGGCTTCTCTGGGGCGGGCATTGCTCCTGTTTTCCTGGGGGCTGCCAGCCCTCTGGGCTCATCTGGAGTCTGAAGACTGGACTTCCTCCCTACTCCGCACTGCTTCCTTTTCCTGTTTACAGTTCTCTGGAGTTTCTGGTTTTCCTGTCAGGTCTTTCTTGATTCTCAGAGCTCTGGACTCCTCTCACCCCCAAGTGTTTTTGAGGTGTCTCGATTCTGTGCCTTGGAGAGCCTCTATTTGCTTCCCATTTTTATTCCACCACTTTATTTTTTATTTTTTGGCTTTAAAAAAATTCATTGGTACATTTTAGATATAATGATAGTGTTCATCATAGGCATTTGTACCTGTACACGGTCTGTCTTGTTGCTGCTTTTTTCCCAGTCCCCCGCCCTCCCTCCAGCCCCTCTTTCCCTCCTTATTTACAGCAAGCTTTGTTTCCATTGTTTTCCTTCCATTCTCTTTTCTTTTTGCTTGGTCCTCCTTTCCCTTCCCCTCGCCCTTCCTCCTCCTTCCTCATTTTTATTTATTTTGAGATACTGTCTAAATTGCCCAAGCTGGACTGAATTTGGGATTGCTCTGCCTCCATGTGTGGAGCACCCGGGATCACAGTCAGGTGCCACTGCGCCTGGCCTTGACCTATTCCTTGTAGTTTACCTTACTGCAGTTTACCTGTCCATGCTCTAAATTTCATAATTTTTAACTCTTTTTCTTTTTTTTTTTTTTTTTCCCTTATGGCAGGGTCTTGCTATGTAGTTCATGCTGGCCTTGAACTCATGGCGATCCTCCTGCTTCAGCCTCCCCAGTGCTGGGATTACAGGCGTTCGCCACCAGGCCCAGCTTGATAATAGATAACTCTTTCTTTTGTTTGGGCGGATCAGTTATACCTTAAATTAAGAACTAAGCAGAAAAGTTTTATATTTATCCACTTGTTTATGTTTCCAGTACTTTCTCCAGATCCAAAATACTCACCTTGTACTGTTTTTCGTCAGCTGCAAGAGCGTTCAGTGTTTCTCCGTGTAGAACTGCTGACAGGAAGTTCTTTCTGCTTTTCTTTGCCTGATACCTTTATTTCATCCTCATTTAAAAGATTCTTGCCCTGAATATGAATTGTCTCCTCTGTTGCACTTTTTAAAATGTCATTTCATTGGCTTCTGGGTTACTTTATTTCTGGTGAAAATTAAACGGCCATAGTTTTTGTTTTTAATGAGCCCTCCACCACCCCCACTACCTCACCTCCCCCCACCCCCCCACCCCCGCTCCCATTTTAGGATTTTCCTGGGCTGAGTGTGGTGGTGCGCATCTGTGGTCCCAGCACTTGGGGCTACTCAGGGCTGCGGTTCAAGGTTGGATGTGAGCCTGAGGCCAGCCTGAGCTGCATGGCGAGACCCTGTCTCAAAACAGCAAAAACAGAAAGATTTGTTCTCATTGTAATTGGCATGTAGAAATTTATCAAGTTGTGGTTTTACCAAGTTGTGGTTTCTGTTGTTTTGCCTTTTTTTTTTTTTTTCAAAGCAGTGCTGGTGATTGAACCCAGGGCCTTGTGCACAGAAATGTTCCACTACGGATCTCTGCATCCCAGCTCTGATTTTAAAGTGTTTCTCCTCCCCAGTATTCTTCTAGAGTTTCAATTACACACTTGCGATAGGCTGCTTCAAGATTGTCCCTGGGAGGAGGGTTGGGCATGGTGGCACACGCCTGTAATCCTAGCACTCCCCCTTGTAATTAATGGGTTTAAAGAAGAACTTCCACATAAGAAGGAACAAATACAGAACATCAGCAGAGAAACGGGAGGACTGAAAGACTAAGAACTTTTAGAGCTAGGCATGGTACCACATTCCAAGAGTTCCCCCTACGTGGGAGGCTGAGGCAGGAGGATTGCTTGAATCTAGGAGTGTGAGACCAGACTGAACAACAACAGCACAAGAAAGACCTTATCCCGGAAAATCAGAAAAGAACTTCTAGAGTTAAAAAAAAAACAACCACTAACTAGGACTATAAGATTCTAAACTACAAAATAGATCAGTGAAGCTAAAGACAATGTAGTAGAAACTATTCAAACTAGAACAGAAAAAAGATGGAAAGAAATTAAGAAAACCACAGTGCTCCAAGGGACAATCATTTATTATTATTATTTTTTTTTTTGGAGACCAAGTCTCACTGTGTGTCCAGGCCGGCATTTAATTCACTATGTAGTTCGGGCTGGCCTCGAACTCACTATATAGCCCAGGCTGGCTTTGAACTCCCACCTCAGCCTGGAGTGTTGGGATTACAGGCGTGTACTACCACACCTGGCTGCATTTTGTTTTTTGAGTGAGTCTCACTGAGTCACGGAATTGCCAGGGAAGGCTTGAATTTGTAGTCTTCCTGCCTCAGCCTTTCAGTGTGCTGGGATTACAGATGTGTGCCACCATTTTTATAATTTTTTAAAGATTTTATTTTCTAGTTAATTTTTGTTTGCTTGTAACAGTGTTATTTTTGTTGTTTTATTGCTGCAGTGCTGGGTGTCGAATACGGGGCACTGTACCACAGAGCTATGTTCCCAGCCCTTTTTTTGTTTTGAGGCGGGATCTGGCTAAATTATCCAGGCAGGCCTCAAATTTGTAATACTGCCTTAGCCTCCCCCAGCCTCCTGAGTAGCTGAGATTACTCAGCCTATTATTTATTTATTTATTTATTTTATTTGGTTTTTCTCCGGTACCGGGAACCGAACTCACGACCTTGCGCTTGCCAGGCAGGCGCTTTTGCCGCTGAGCTAAATCCCCAGCCCCCTATTATTTATTTATATAGGTGTTTTAGACAAGGTCTTGCTATGTAGGCTAAGCTGGCCTTGCATTCAAGATACTTCTGTCTCAGCCTACCAAGTGTGGGGGTTATAGGCATATGCTGTTGAGCTCAGCAGTTACTTCATTTATTTTTGTGGTAATGGAGATTGAACCCAGGGATGCTCTGCCACTGAGGTGCATTTCCAACCCTTTTTATTTTTAATTTTGAGACAAGGTCTTGCTAAGTTCCTTAATATCCAGGCTGGGTTTGAATTTACAATCTGAGGGAGACTAAGGCAGGAGGATTGCAAGTTGGAGCCCAGCCCGTCCAATTTAGTGAGATCCTATTTCAAAATAAAATATAAAGAGGAGTGAGGACATAGGGCAGTTTAAAGACTTGTGGTTTAATCTTCAGTACTAACAAAAGAGGGGGAAAAAAAAACTATAGTACAAAAAACTACTTTTGAGGGCTTATAAAATTTACCTTAATTCAAACAAACAAAATGAGTAGGATACTAGCGTATAGTTCCTTGGAAAAGCATAGGAAATTTTGGTTTCTATCTGTAGCACCCAAAACAAACAAAACATGTATCTGAATCTACTTGATGCTTGATACCATAACAATATGTGAGACTGAGCAATTAATTAATTAGTTCATTGAGACAGGGTCTCCCTATGTAGTTTAGGCTGGCCTCGAGCTTAGGGTGGGTGCTCGGATTACAGCCTGAGAAGGGATCTTTTATAAAGAAGAGCAATACATACCTGACAGAGCTGGAGGCTGGGAAGGCCAACCTTGAGAGGCCCAGGTCTGTCCAGGGCTTTGTGGGTACATCATCCCGTGTTGACTGCCTGCTTGCCTGTGTGCAGGAGAGCTGGACTCAGGACGCTGAGGTAGGCAGATGCATGCTGAGTTTGAGGCCAGTCTGGATTGTATAGTGAAGCTGAGCTCACCCTCCCACAATAACAGACTTGCTCCCAAAGTAATATTAATCCATTCACAGAACAGAGCCCTCTTTATCTAATCAGCTGTTAAAGATCCCCTGTCACAACAGTGTCACATTGGGGTTAGGTTTCCAACACGTGAACTTTGAGGGACTCCCTCAAACCACAGCAGAGAGGACAGCGGTTCCAGCGTGCAGAGTAAATTTATTGGAGAAGTTTGGTTATGAAAAGGAATAACTGAAGGGGCCCTGGGAGCTGAGAGACGGTTAGTTTTCCTGTGGTTTGGTTTGTGTGTGTTTTGCAGTGCTGGGATTTGACCTCCAGGCCTCAAGAATGGTAGGGAAGCACTCAACCAGTGACGTACATCCTCAGCCTTGCTTTTTTTTCCCCCCCTTTGGTGATGCAGGGGATTGAAACTAGTCAACACTGAGCTCCATTCCCTTCCCCTGGAGGGAGTGTAATGAGTTCCGAAGCCTGGAGAGGCGGCAGTCTGTCAGTGTCTCACTCCCTCTGCTTCCCAGGACGGTGCCTAGTGAATGGGTGCTGCTCTTCTATGAAAAAGGAGCCGGGAGTCTATGTTTCTCCTCCCTGTTACTTTTTTAGAGCACCCTCGAGTGTGTTTCCTTTTTAGGTTGTGACCACTTTGGAGAGTAGCGACAGGCCTTCTTACCCCAGCACAGAATAGTAGCTGAATAAATATATCCTCAGCGAATGACCATGTGACCTCTGCTTAAAATGCCCCCAGTGGGCTGAAATTGTGAGATTTCTTGGTTTTACCCTCCGCCAGGCTGTTGGCTCCACAAGGGAGGGAGCTCTTGTTCCACTCCTTCCTCTGTTGTTGGTGCTGGCACAGGCTAGATGGTAAGTGAAGGATGGAAGGAAATTTTTCCAAGGTATAACAGATAAAATCTTCCCTTCAGTTAATAGTCGGGAGAAGGTGGATTTCTTGCATATAAGTCTTCATTAGGACAGGAAGATCGATGCATGGGGTGACCTCTTTTATGCTGAATATTTGCAGGTTTATTCCAATGGAGTTTGGGGTTTGTTTTTTAGGAAGAGGCCTCACCCTACCCTTTGGTCAGTACTTGCCTGCGTGTCCTGATTGCTAATCTCGAGAAGTTGTGTCCTGAGAGACCCGATGGAACCCTGTGCCTTCCAGAGCATTGGATTTTCCCACAAGAAGTAGCTGAGCAGTTCCTTCAGCTGCTGACTTGGCAAGGTAATAAGGCTGTGCTGTGGTCTACTCATAATAGCTGCTGCTGCTTTTTTTTTCTTTGTGGTGGCGGTGGTGGTGCTCAAACCCAGGGCCTTTGCACTGAGCTACATCACCAGCCCCTTTTTATTTTTTATATTGAGATAAGTTCTTGCTAAATTGCCCGGGTTGGGCTTGAATTTGTGATCTTTTTTTGCCTCAGCCTCCCGGAATGCTGGGATTATAGATGTGCACCACCATGCCTGGCTTATTTTCTCCCATTCTATAGATAGTCTTTTTATGCTGTTGTTTCTTTCTTTTTTTTTTTTTTTTTTTTTTTGGAGACAGGCTCTCACTGTGTAGTTCAGGCTGACCTTAAACTCACTATGTAGTCCAGGCTGGCCTGGCACTCACAGCAATCCTCCTGTCTCAGCCTTTAGAGTGCTGGGGTTACAGCCATGTGCCACCATGCCCAGCCTCTGTTGTTTCTTTTGTTGAGCATTTTTTTTTCATTGGATGTAACTCAATTCACCTAGTTTTGCTGTTTTCTATGCTTTTGGGATCTTGTCTAAAATATCCTTGCTCATTCCAATGTCCTGAAGTATTTCCACTCTGTGTTCTTCTGGAGCAGCACTTTAAAAGGACAAAGTCGAGTTTCCTAATTTACCCCTCCCTACAGCTGTTGTTCTTTGTTCTAAAACGGATAAAAGCAGTAACTTCTGTCCCTGGAAGTAAAGTTTTGTAACCTCCTGTTCCCATAACATCCTATTATGCCTGAGCAGGCCCAACAAGATACAAAACTGTTACAGCTTGACAAACTGCCTTTGCTTTCTTGCCTACGCACAAGTTCCAGTTCAGGGTCTCCAAAACCTTGCCGAAGACCAGCCTCCTTGGCACATGTATGAAAATGGGAGCTTCTCCTTTGTTCAGCGCTCAGTCATGTTGGACAGAAGTCCGCTGAACCAGGTGTACACCTAAACTGACCCTGTGGTCGCCCCTGTCTTTTGAATTCTGCAACACTTCCAGTAGTTTCATAGTCTTAGCTCTCCATTTTGAGTTGATTTTGTAACAGGTGAGAACTGGGGGGGCGGGGGTGGGGTCTAGGTTCATTCTTCTGCATGTAAATCTCTTAATTTTCCTGTCACTATTTTACCACTTCATTGAAAAGACTGTTTTTAATACCACCGCCATTTTTTGGGGGGAGGGGTTATTTGTTTTGTGGTAGGATCTCACTGTGTAATCCAAGCCAGCCTTGAACTCACTGTTTAACTAGGCTGACCTCCACCTGGCTATCCTTTTGCCTAAGGCTTCCCAGTTAGCCTGAAGACAATACTATTTTGATCTCTGCAGCTTTGTAGTAGTGTAATGATTCCTGCTTTTTGTTCTTTTTGCTCAAAATGGTTTTGGCTATTTGGGTGTTCTTTTTTTTTTTTTTTTTAAATGGTTCCATGCAAGTTTGAGGATTTTTTTTTTAAAGATCTGTGAAGGATGTCAGTGGTAGTGATTATACTGCAGCTGTATATCACTTTGGGTCATAAGGACCTTTTAACAATATTGATTTCTTCCAGTCCAGTCCCTGAACATGGCATGTCTGGATGTCTTTCTGAGAGGATGAAGTGGCTTTTACTTCAATTTCTTTCATTAGTGTTTTGTAGTTTATATTATTCTTTTATCTCTTTGCTTAAATTTGTTCCTAGATATTCTATTAATTAATGGTATCTGTTGTAAATGGGATTGCTTTCTTGATTTCTAATTCAGGTAACTTGTTATATATAAAAAGATACTGATTTCTAAATGTTGATTTTTGTATCTTACAACTTTGCTGAATTTGTGTATTAGTTGTAGTAGGGTTTTCTTGGCAGCATCTTCGGGATTTTCTGTATGTAAGGTCATGTCCCTTGCAGTGATAATTTGACTTCCTCCTTTTACAATTTAGATACTTTTCATTTCCTTCTCTTGCCTGATTGTTTTGGCTGTGACTCCTAGTACATGTTGACTAAGAATAATTGCTCTTGTCTTGGTCTAGATCTTGGAGAAAAAGCTTTCAGCTTTTCCCTAGTCAGGATTGTTAGCTGTTGGCTTATTAAATATTGCCTTTATTACATTCAGACATAGTCCTTCTATGCTTAATAGGTTTAGTTGGTTTTTTTTCTTTTTTTCTTTTTTAAGCGGGGATAGGGTCTCACTAAGTAGTTTAGGTTGATCTTGAACTCACTGTGTAGCTCAGGCTGACCTGGAACTGGATGTGATCCTCCTGCCGTGGCCTCTCCTGAGCGCCGGGATTATAGGCATGTGCCTCCACATCCAGCTAGTTAAGAGTTTTTATCATAAAGGAATGTTGAATTTTATCAGATGCCCTTTCTGCATCCTATCTGTCTTTCATTCTGTTGATGTGTTATATCATGTTGATCGATTTGCTTATGTTGAACCATCCTTGCATTTATGGGATGATTTCCAGTTTGAACATGGTGAATAATCTCTTTAACGTGCTGTTGCCTTTGGTGTGCTGCTTCTGTTTTTTTGTGTGTGTGGTACTAGGGATTAAACCCATGGGGGCTTTCCACTGAGCCTCATTCCCACCCCTTTTTAAAATCTTTTGAGACTAGGTAATGGTCTATACTTTGCTTTTTTTCATTTGGTTATGCTTTCCTATGGTTTTGATATCAGGATAATGGTGGTCTTGTAAAATAAGTTTCCTTCTTTTTCCTTTTCTCTCTTTTTTTCCCTCAATACTGGCGATTGAACCTAGGGGTGCTTTACCACTGAGCTGTACCACAAGCCCTTTTTCCTTTGAGATAAGGTCTTGCTAAATTTCCCAGATTGGCCTCAAACTTGTAGCTGGACTTCGTGATCTTCATGAAGATCTCCCTCGAGTACTGCTCAGCACATGTGCCACAGCTGAGCTCCTTCAGGCCCACGCGGACTTTGAGCTGCAGTGGGGCTGCGTCCGTGAAGGGGCAGCCCCACTTGGGCATGGTTGCCAGGCCAGAGGACGCGGAGTGCCGCACCATGATTTTCAATTTTATTGAAAAATAGTTTAAGAAGTAAACGACCTCTTCAGTCATTTAAAAGGTGTTTTTATTAGTTATTCTGTAAGTGTTTGGTTGAACCCACCTGTGAAACTGTCTGGTCCCACCTGTGAAACTGTCTGGTCCTGCGTTGCTCTTCTTTTTATCCCCCGACATTGGTTGGGAATAAATCCATACTTACCCCTCTTTATTTTCTTAGTGTTCCCAGTGATCAAGCCCAGAACCTCATGCATGCCAGACAAACCTGCTCCCATGGAGCTCCTGTTGAGCTATGTCTCTAGCCCTTGTTTGTGTGTGTTTTCCTTCTTCATTTTTCTTTTTTTGTAGTCCTGGGGAGTGCTTGTCTTTGGTTATTTTGACGTGAGGTTTCACTGTGTTGCCCAGGACGGCCTCAGACTCTGGGTGCAAGCAGTTCTGTGTCATTCTCCTGAGTAGCTGGGATTCTAGGCAACCTGAAGACTTATTTTTCATCCTGGAGGGTGTAGCCAGGCCCTTGTGTGCTAAACATGTACTCTACACTGAACTACATCCTTTAGGGATAGTCAGGACCGTTACATAGGGTGAGATTAGGGAACCAGGCCCCTTTAAGAAATAGAAAGGAAATAGCCGCTGTATCTCAGCAGGCAGCCAACGCTGACATCTTGTGGTTTTGACACTCTCTTGCGTGTAGCTACACTGTCCCACCTGAGGGCCTCTTTAGGTAGGCTACTTCTCCTCTCAACATTCCCGTTAGCTTCCCAAACCTAGCCCTCTGGCACCACGTCCAGTAGCGACCCCTGGAAAGAAGGACCTTTGGAAGTGGTAGAGACTGGGCCTCCAACATGTCAAACAGGGCTGCAGCCCCAGATCTGTTAGTGACCCAGCTCTGGGCATCTCCACTCTTCTAGAGTGGTTTTGTCCTGTTTCCTCTTGCAGCACCTGTAATAAAGTTCTTTGGTTTTTCACTGGTCTTCTCTGTTTGATCTTCCTCTGTTCTGTGCCAGAGAGAGCCAGAGCCCAGCGAGGGTGAGTCTAGGGACCCCTAGCCCTTAGACCTACTGGAGATAAGAACCCTTAGCCTTGAGCCTCTTTTATTCAGTAGGCTTCCTCTTTCTGTAATCATTTTGCAGTAAATTTATTATACATGTATTATATATCTGTGTGCCGCAAACCTGCATAGTTCTTGATGTTCCCGGGGAAAAAACGGTAAGAGGATAAAGAAATAAAGATAAGAGATGAAAGCTGAGGTCAGGTGGAGCCTTCCCTCCCTATGGGAGGAAAGGAACTGCCCAAGGACTGCAGAGTGTTTATTTATACACTCAGGAGGTTGAGTGACCTCAGGAAAGTGACCTCAGGAGGTCACTTTCAGCCTCTCTGTTTAGCAACCTGTTTGCAAGCTGGAACAGCTTGTTTACATGGCTGGAGGAACTCTCCCTATTGTGATTCTCAGCCTGCTTTGTCTTAGGCCTGCATACATGTGATTGATTTCCAGCTTCAGCTGCCCCCTACATCTGTGCATATGTATGTCTGAAAAGAAACGGATCGCTTGTTCCATAGAGTTTCACACATTCAGGCTTTTGCCATTGTTTAACTGTGCTCTGGATTCCGACATGTTTCTCTGATCCAGTATTTCCTGTCAGTTGGATATTAAGTATAAATGGTTGATCAGATTTGTTTTTGTTCTTGGTCTTTCCCCTTTTTTTCTTTTTAGTGTTTTTGAGACCAGGTCTCACTATGCAGCCCAGTTACCAAGCCTGGATATTAAGTACAAATGCTTGATCAGATTTGTTTTTGTTCTTGGTCTTTCCCCTTTTTTTCTTTTTAGTTTTTTTGAGACCAGGTCTCACTATGCAGTCCAGGCTGGCCTCAGACTCACAGCAATCCTCCTGCCTCAGCCTTCAGAGTGCTGGAATTACACGTGTACAGCACCATGCCCAGTTTCCTGACCTTTCTTCACAGATTTTATGAAGTCTGTCTGGTCAGTTTTTGTGATTGTGGTGATCACAGACAATTTTTCATTGCAAAGATTCGTAAAATAAGTACTATGTTAGTGTTTTGGGGGGATTGTCTTTTGGCTTTTCTGTTTGTTTATTTTTGGTTTTGAGACTTGCACTGAGTTGCCTTGGCTGTGCTTAAAGTTGCCATCCTCTTATCCTACCCTCTCAGGGTGCTGGGATTATAGGCCAACACATAGCTTGTCCTTGTTCATTGCCCCATGGGTCCTGGAGAGGTGTAAGCTTCAGTAGTCAGTACAAGCTGGTACTGCTTCTCTTACAGGAAAGCTGACTGATAAGACGGCAAGCATTTTCCAAGGCAACCAAACGAACCTGAAGCTGGTCAATATCCAAAGAGTAAAAATCTCTGCCACTGCCTTCATTAACTGCTTCTGCCATCATAAGCTCCTTGAAGTGGATGCTACTTCAGTACACTCCGACCTTCCACTCCCAGACATCATACATGGACTCTGCAGCAGTAGCTGGATCCAGCAAAACCTCCGGTGTCTCGTCTTAGACTCAGCAAGTGTCCCTCACAATTCAGGACTGTTGGCCTTTGGTCAGCTCACTGGCCTTCGCATCTTAAGTGTTCCCAATGTTTGCTTTTATAGTGAAGATCTGGCTAATGTTTCCCAGTTACCAAGCCTGGAAAACCTGGATATCTCTAATACTCAGATAACCAACATCTCTGCACTCCTTACCTGCAAGGATCGACTCAAATCTCTCACCATGCACTATCTGAAATGCCTGACGATGACCAAATCACAAATTTTTGCAGTCCTTAAAGAACTTAAATGTCTACTTCACCTTGATATTTCTGGTCACAGGCAACTCGGATCAGACCTAGGTTTTTATTTCCTGCAACAAAAGGATATCCTGCCTAATATTGTGTCCTTGGACATCTCTGGGAGCCGTTACATCAATGATATAGATGTAGAAGAGTTCATACAGCAGCGGCCTGCATTGCGATTTGTGGGACTCTTGGCTACAGATGCTGGTTATTCTGATTTCTTCACTAGAAGGCGAGGCTTAAAGGTTTGTTCTTACCTAAAATAAGTTTTGTTTCATTTGTTCAGAGCGTTATTAAATTCTTGCTGTATACTGGAATCTGTACTAGGTGTTAGAGTTAATAAGAAATTAGTAACAGTTAATAATTATTACGCACTTACTATGTGATAAGTTGTGGCAATGTAATGCTAAGAGACAGTGCCAGACTCTCCGTCTCCTAGTCTAGCTCCATAAAGCTAATTCCATCCATTTACATATTAGTGCATGTGCCTCACACCATGCTGCCCACACTGTTTCCTCCTTTCACCCTTGAGTTTTGTTGATGAGGAAAGGAAGCAAGAAGTCTACTTGGAATCATGCAACTAACTCTTAAATAGTAGACTGAGATCTGTGTCTAGGTTTTTGTGACTCGAAAACTTGTGTTCTTTACCTCTTATTAAGAGGTAGATACAGGATAGGGGCTGTAGCTCAGTGGTAGAGCGTTTGCCTGGAGTGCATGAGGCCCTGGATTTGATTCCCCAGGATGGGCTAGGGAGCTGAATATAACGGACAAGCCAGATGATCAATACGAGTATATGGCTAGCACTATTTCTTGGCCATGGTATGACAAAAAGCAGTTTTTAAAAGAGCACTGAAAAGTGTTTTGAAGTTGAGCTTGATGGTTGGTTCACATCTGTAATCTTAGCACTCTGGAGACTGATACAAGAGGATCACTTCAAGTTCAAGGCCAGCCTTGGCTACATAGTTTGTCTCAAAACAAACCATTTTTTTTTTTGTTTTGTTTTGTTTTTGTCTTTTTGAGACAGGGTCTTGCTCTGCAGTTCAGGCTGGCCTTGAGCTCACTTTGTAGCCCAGGCTGGTCTCGAACTTACAACGATCTTCCTGCCTCAGCCTCCTGGGTGCTGGGATTTCAGGTGTGCAAAACAAACTATTTTGAAGCTGAGCTTGGTGGCACATACCTGTAACCCCAGCACTTGGGAGAGTAAGGCAGGAGGATAAGTTTAAGGCCAATCTGGGCTACGTTACACAGTGGGCTCTGTCTCAGTGAGCCACCCCTCCCAAATGTCTTAAAGGGTTAGGATGGCGCTCAGTGATAGAGCACTTGCTTAGCAGGCAGCATCCCTAATGCTGCAAGGAAGAAAATGAGAAAAGAGCAAATCTGGACCCTCCTTGCCCTCTAGCTTTCTCCCTTGCTCTGTGGTATCTCCTGACATGAGCTGCATGTGACAGCCAGCAGTGGACCTTCCAAAGCTGAGTAGGCGCAAGTGCCATGTTCTTCAACATCCATGACCCTGATCTGAATCAGTCCCTTTTCTTTATACATTACCCAGCTTCAGGTATTTTATTACAGCATTGGAAAACCAAAGACAACATCCACATGTTACTTCTTACACCCAAAATAAGAATGGACAACGTGCTGGTTGTGGTGGCGCACTCCTGTAATCCCAGCACTTGGGAGGCTGAGGCAGGAGGATCCATGAGTTTGAGGCCAGTCTGGGATATAAAATGAATTTAAGGCCATCCTGAACTACATAGTGAGACCCTGTCTCAAAAAACCAAAACCAGAACAAAACAAAAAGAATGGACAACATGGACTTAATGCATTTAAAATGGATGGAAAAGCTACCATTAGTAATAAAAACCAGGGGGTACTTTCATTTGCTAGGAAATAGTACATGATCCATTGATAGGATATAGCAAGAATCCCTTTTGAAGATTCTTCTGTATTGGCATCTACTGTAGGAAGCCCATGAAAGAGCAGACAATGCAGAAGCTGCCCAGTCCTGGCACATCCTTTGTTTTTCTTCAACTCTGACATCTGTATGATCACCACTTTTTTTTTTAAACTGTAGAATATATCCACTGTTGTTTTTGGAGACAGGTGGTCACTGTAGTCCAGGCTGGCCTTGAACTTGCTACACATCGTAGGCTGACCTTGAACTTGGGATCATTCTGCTTTAGCCTCCCTCATTGCTGGTATTGCAGGTGTGCACTACTGCTTGTTCATTTTTGTGGTACTGGGGAATGAATGCAAGGTCTCTAGCATGCTAGGCAAGTGCTGTGCCACTAAGCTGCATCTGCACCCCACCTCCCTTTTTAGTGATGCTGGTTATCAAATACTGCCAGACAAGTGTCCTACCACTGAGCTATACTCTCAGCCTCATTGTTTAGATTTTTAACTGTGTGTAGGTTCTTGGGCAGTTGATCTTTGGTCAGTACTTTAAAAATAACGTTTAATTTAGATTATTTATTTATTTATTTATTTATTTATTGTCTTTTTGAGGCAGGGGCTTGCTATGTGGTTCAGGCTGGCCTTGAGCTCACTTTGTAGCCCAGGCTGGTCTCGAACTCGCAACGATCCTCCTGCCTCAGCCTCCTCAGTGCTGGGATTACAGGCGTGTGCCACCACGCCCGGCCTAGATTAATGATTTTAAACATTTTCTACCTTTTTTTTATAACCTTTGCACACACATGCACATGTAGCTTTTTTCAGAATCATTTGAGAGTTGATTACATATATCATGTCATTTTACCCCTTTATTTATTTATTTATTTATTTTTTTGGTTTTGGTTTTTCTCCGGTACCGGGAACTGAACTCACGACCTTGCGCTTGCCAGGCAGGCGCTTTTGCCGCTGAGCTAAATCCCCAGCCCCGTCATTTTACCCCTTAATACTTGGGTTTTTAATCCCTAAGAACCAGATTAGTCTGAGTGTCTGCTGCACAATTTTCATATTTTAGGAGATCTGACTTTGGGAGAATAGTTTCTTAATAGTCTGAGGTCTATATTCCAGCTTTGATGCTCCTTTTAGTCCAAGATCTTATATTGTGTCCCCTCTTCATATCTTCTTACTGTTTAATCTAGAACTGTTCCGTCATCTTTATCCTTTTGATAGTGATATTTTTGAAGAACGTAGATTAGCTTTGTTTATTGCCTCTTGTAAAGATTGGTTTCTGTTTGGAGTTTGTTCTCTTCAGATCCAGACACTCACTGAAGTAACCGTACATGGGCTGGTAGGTCCTTTCTAGAGCACCAAATTCAGAGCACACAGTGAATATCTCTTGTTACTGTCACTAGATTTCATCACATGGTCTAAATACTGCATGTCCAGCTTCTCCAGTACAGTATATGCATAATAGCATCTAACAAGCAGTATACCATTTACATAAGGTACTCGAAGATTTTGCAGATATCTTAGTAAGCTTGTCGATAAACATCTGGGATCCATTGATGATCTCTATTTTTTTTTGTCTTTTGCTATACTGGGGATTGCACCGAAGGGGTTATGAACGCTGGGCAAGTGCTCTAACAGTAAACTACATCTCTGCCTCTTTTTAGTTTTTACTTGCAGATAGTTCTTTGCTGAGTACTCCAGGCTGGCCTAGAATTTTTGATCCTCCTGCCTCAGTCTCCTGAGTAGCTGGGATTATAGGTATGCAGTGGGTGTGGTCCTGCCTCCCCCGCCCTCTCAGTGGAATCTTGTTATTTTCCCAGGCTGATTTTGAGAACACTGGGGCTCAGGGATTCTCTCTTGTCTGCTGAAGAGCTGTGAGTACAGCTGTGTGCCGCTGCACCTGGCTTCAGTTGATGATTCTTCCCTGAACTGACCTTTTCTGTGATGAATGCAAAGTGATTGCTTTGTCCAATCCCAGCACTCCCTGTTAGCTTTATCAGTTTATAGTCTACTCCATTCTTTTTTTTTTTTTTTTTTTTTTTTCAGTACTGGAGATGGAACTCAGGGCCTTGTGCATACTAGGCAAGCACTCCATCACTAAGCCACATCCCCGGCCCTCTATGTTCTAATATCTTCTCCATCTGTGTGTTTAACCTACACTCCATATGGACTCACTGATTCCTGTGGCTTTTAGTACTGTGTAATTCATTATGTCCTTAATTATTTTGGTGGTCTCCTTCAAACTGGCTCCTGTGTCTTTCCTTTGGTGGTGCCAGGGATCAGAATTATATTCCATATTTTATTTATTTATTTATTTTTGTCTTTTTGAGACAGGATCTCCCTATGCAGTTGAGGCTGGCCTTGAGCTCACTTTGTAGCCCAGGCTGGTTTTGAACTTGCAGTGATCCTCCTGCCTCAGCCTCCCAAGTGCTGGGATTACAGGCATGCGCCACCACACCCGACTGGGGTTTATATTCTTTATTATTAAATTAAAATGGTCAAATGTTTAGCTGTAAGGTCCGTTTGACTTACTTTGTTCAGTGGATTTCTTTTTTCTCCACTGGATTGTCTTATACTAAAAGTGTGTTTGAGTCTCCTATTCTTGCAGTTCCTATGGTGTCTGCTTTATGTAGGCATTTGCTGTATTTTTGCAAAGGCTTTTGTAATCATCATATCTTTATTGTGATTAGGGTTTTTTATCACCAGTATTTATAAGGTTTTGGCTTTGTCTTGCCTGAATCCTGAATTAACTTTTTCTAAGATTGCCCCTTTATTTTTATCCTTCTAAAATCCATTTTAGATGTGGTCTTAATTGCATACAGTTGGAGTTTGCTCTATGAGCCTATTAAACTTTTTTTTATAAATAAATGATTAAGCATATATGCATTTGTTGGCATCACTGTTACATGTGGCCTTCACTCTGTCATATTTTATATTTTAGGGTTTTTTTTTTTGCTGTGTAGTTCAGACTGGCCTTGAACTCACTGTGTAGCCCACGCTAGCCTTGAACTTGCAGGGATCCTCCTGCCTCAGCCTCGCCAGTGCTGAGACGTAGAGATGGAATTTCAGTATCTTGCCCAGGCTGGTCTTGAATTCCTGGGCTCAAGCAATCCTTCTGCCACATCCTCTTCTGCACTGGAACTAGAGGAAGGCACCACTATCCCTGACTTACACTTTTTTTTTTTTTGGTCTTTTTTGAGACAGGGTTTTGCCATGCAGTTCAGGCTGGCCTTAAACACTCTTTGTAACCTGGGCTGGTCTCAAAATTGCAGTGATCTTCATGCCTCAGCCTCCTGCATGCTGGATTATAGGTGTGCACCCCCATGCCCAGCGTCCCTGATTTGCTGTTTCCTTTTTGAACCTAAGGCTTTTGCACTAAGCTATATCCCAACTCTCTTTTGTTTGTGCTAAGGGTTGAACTTAGGACCTCTCAGGTATGCTATGGAAGTGTTCCACCATAAGCTATATTCCTAGCCCCTGGGACTTCTTTTAGTTTTGAAAAGTTTTCTCAATGATAGTTGCAAATAGTTCATTTTGTCTGCAAAAACTTCAGTTGTAAGTATGTTGGATCTTCTTAAACTTTCTTCCATTTTGGCATTCTTTTTTCTGTTTTAAACTTTTCTTTTTTTGTCTTTACTACATTTTTATATAAGTGTATCCTTTCTTGAATGTACCTTGTAATTTATTCTGCCTATTCATAGGGTTTTATCTTTTTCTTTCTTGAGTTAGTAAACCTTTGTTTGAACTTTTTGATATTCATGTTTTCTTTCATAAACCAAAGTATATCTTGAGAATAATTAAGCTTGAAATACTTCGTTGTAATTTTCTTCTGTTTATGGCAAGACTTTTTCTTACTTGAAATGTGTAGATTTTTATTTTCTAATTTCTTTTTTATTTGTTTTGTTTTTTTCCTTTTTGAGACAGGGTCTTGCTATGCAGTTCAGGCTTGAGCTCACTTTGTAGCCCACAGTAGTCATGAACTCACAAAGGTCCTCCTGCCTCAGCCTCCTGAGTGCTGGGATTACAGGCGTGCACCACCACACTTGGCCTTGCTTTTTGTTTTTTAGAGACAGGCTCTGACTATGCCACTCAGGCTGGCTTTGAACTCACTTTGTAGGTCTGGCTGGCCTTCAGTTTGAGGTAGTCCTCCTGCCTCAGCCTCCTGAGTGCTGGGATTGCAGGCATGTGCCACCATACCCAGCTCATTTTCTAATTTTTTTCTTTTTTTTTTTGGTTTAGGGAATTGAACTCAGGACCTTGCACTTGCCAGGCAGGCACTTGTGCCTCTGAGCTAGATCCCCAGCCCCTCATTTTCTAATTTCTTACTATTGTTTTATATAGAATTGATCAGGGTCTTATTTCTTTGCACCTAATTCAAAGGCACTTTTGTCAATTTAGTTAAGTGAGATTTCATCAAGAGATGATGATATTGTGGTGGGAAAGAGTATTTTTTTCTCTTTTTGAGGCAGGGTCTCAATATGCAGTTCAGGCTGGCCTTGAACTCACAGCATTCCTTCTGCCTCAGCCTCCTGAGTGGGGTTTTTATTTTGACTTTGTAAGATCCTCATCCCCCATTCCCCACCCCATTGCCACTGCCATTTCCATCTTTTTCACTAATCATAAATCTGCAAACTGGGTCATGTCTAGTTTTATTTAACTTTTTTGCTGACTTTGTGGTTTGGAAAGAAGATGGAGAGGAGGGGATGGTCCTGGAGGCCGTAGGGATGGTAAGAGTTCAGGCGATTGCCACTACCTTTTAGATACAGTATTTATATAAGATTGACGTGTATGCTTCAGTGATAGAAGGAAAAATTACAATGCTAAGTAAAGAACTGTTACAGCTGATTTTTCATATTTTATGGTGCCTTTTCCTTAATTTTTTGTGTTTGAGTACTTAGAAAACATTTATGATTTATTGAAAAATTTATGTGTATTAACTGTAATGTAGGGGTTTTTTGTTGTTGTTGTTGTTTTCTTTTTAAGTCAGGGTTTTACTGTGCAGTTCAGGCTGGTCTTGAGCTCACTTTGTAGCCCAGGCTGGCTGCAAACTCGCAGTGATACTCCTGCCTCAGCCTCCTGAGTGCTGGGATTATAGGTATATACCACCAAACCTGGCCTGTGTAATGTAGTTATAGGAATATGCTACTGTATTTGATTCTGATGCCACCACTTCATTGCTTTGTTAAATTAGCAACATACTTAACCTATCTGGACACATAGGTAAAAAAATGAGGTTAATGAGAGAATTAATTTTTTAGAATTAGGTCTACATGAGAACCTTCTAAATAGCCTGGAACATTTAATTGAACACCATTTAATTGAACACCTAATTGAACCAGGGGAGCTCAAAAAAGACTGCTTGGGGATGGCCAATGAAACCTACTAGGACTGTGTTTTTCAGGTTGCTGGAGGAGCCAATATCAGTCAGATTGCTGAAGCACTGAGCCAGTACAGGAAGAGGTCATGTTACATGAAGGAATCTCTCTACAAACTCTTCACAGAGACATTTTCAGTACGTGTAACCATGCCTGCCATTTTAAAGGTAATTGCATCTCAGAAAGGCAATCTTGATTACTGCATCTCGGTTCAATTAAAATTGTTCGCCAGAAATGCTACAGTAATTACAGTGCCTTGTTCTGTAGCGAGTCAAGTGCACTCATCAAGAAAGGAAGTCGGGGGGCTGGGGATTTAGTTCAGCGGCAAAGCGCCTGCCTGGCAAGCGCAAGGTCGTGAGTTCGATTCCTGGTACCGGAAGAAAAGACAAAAAAAAAAAAAACAACCAAGAGAAAGGAAGTCATTGTTGGTTTTACCAGATTGTCTCTTGCTTTGTGCATCTGAATTTATGTGAGGAGCTAGGGATGTACTTCGGTGAAAAAGTGCTTGCCTACTGTGGACAAAGCCATGGGTTTAATCTGTAGCACTGCTAGGGGTGGAGGGAGAAAATGTGAATACGAATGAATGAATTTGAGTTAAGAATTTGGTTTCAGGATGTGTCATTTATGTCTAGATATTCTCCCAAAGCCTCATGCTCATAGGTGGGGGTTGGAGAGGTAATTGGATTATGGGGACTAATTCACTGGTGGGTGTATAGCTAAATATGCTGTTAGGCGGTAAAGCCTGATTCAAGCGGAGGTGTGGCCTGGAAGGATCTGCCCTCTCCCCGACCTTGTTTTTTTTGAGATCGTGTCTCACCATGTAGTTCTGGTTGGCCTTCAACTCACTGTGTAGTCCAGACTGTCCCCAAACTTTTTGCAGTCCTCCTGCCTCAGCCTTCTGAGTGCTGGCATTACTTACCCTGTGCCTTTGTATGTTGGCAGTGTTTACCTTGCTTTTGATTTTTACAGGGACTCACAGGTAAGAGTTTGCCTTAAATCTCAGAAGAGACTTTGGACTTAGACTTTTCAGCAGTGCTGAAACTATTAGACTTTGACAACTTGTAGAGGTAGACTAAATGCATTTTACATTTAGATGCCTGTACGTGTTTTGGGGGCTAGGGGCAGAGTGTTATCATTTATGTCTAGATGTCTCCCCAAAACCTTGTGGTTATAGGTAGGGCTTTGGGAGGTGGTGGATCATGGGGACTAATCCACTGGTGAGTTTATAGCTAAATGTACTGTTGGGGAGCATAGCTGGTCTGAGAGGAGGTGGGTCACTGGCGGTGTAGCCTAGAAGTGTCTGTCCCCACCATGGTCTCTCTCTCTCTGCTTCCTGTCTGCTATCCCTGAGCAGCCCTTCTCAGCCATGCCCCTCAGCTGTGCTCCCTGTCCTTGGACTGAAACCTCTACAAACTGTGAGCCAAGATAAAGCTTTCCTCCTGCAATTGATGGGTGTCAGGCATTGGATCTCAGTGAAAAGGAGGATCGCTGTGCTATTTCGTCCAAAATAGGACTTAAACATCTATTAATGTGAATCACTTTGCTTCTTATGTGTTCATTAATCCCTAAAGAAAAATCTAACATCTGATTCTCTTGCTCTTTCTTTAATGGTGCTATAGACCAAACCCCAGACTTCACACATGCTAAGCAAGCACTCTACCACCGTCTCTATCTCCAGCCCCTAAAATCTGATTTTCTGAATGAAAATAAGAACAGCAAAATAAAAGTACTTGAAGGTGGCCAGATCTACAATTTAAAGTATTTTGTGAATAAAGTAAAATTGCTAGTTTTGATATAGCCCTTGGCTTAGAGAAAAATACATTTATTTTAAATATAATCAAAAGTATTTAGTTGTTTGGGAAGGCAACTCTATTTATTTATATTTTATTTTTTAATTTTTTTTTTAACGGAAGTGTGCTTTGTTTGCTTTTGTGGTGCTAGAGTTGAAATGTAGGGCCCCTTACCTGATCCGCAAACATTCAACCACTGAGCTACACCCCTGGCCCTATGTGTGTATGTATTTTAAACTACAGTTATGTAAAGCTAAATGAAACAGGAAAATGAAGGATCTTTTAAAATTTTATTATTGTAATATTCGCAGTTCTTTAAAAATGTGGCAGGACCGGAGTGGTAGCTCAGTGGGAGAGCACTTGCCTGGCACTGAGAGACCCTGAGTTCCAGTCCCAGTCCCACCAAAAAAGGGGGCTGTTTCTCCAGCATAAGAAAGTAAATTTGTTTACAACTTAAATGCAGGATTGTGGCCAGGCACGGTGATGTTCACTTGTAATCCCAGCTCCTTGGAGAGGTTGGGGCAGGAGGATCACAAGTTCGAGCCCAGCATGGCCAACTTAGGGAGACCCTGACTCAATATTTTAAAAGGGGCAGCGGAGGTGGAGGATATAGCTTAATGCAGAGGCCCTCAGTTCAGTCCTCAGTACCACTGATCGGTTGATCAGTTTATTGATTGATAGAAAAGTGAGCGATCTTCGTCATGATTCATGGCAGTATCAATAGGGTCTGAGGTGATATCTCTATAGTAGCGGAAGTGGATCACAGTGTCCCTCAGTGCTGGAGTAAGAAGAGCCCAACCTTAGAACCACGCGCTCTTGCATTTGTGTTTTAGGTTTACCGCAGTCTGGCCTCTAATGATGTAGTGTTATATTTTACTCCAGTGCTTTTCAAATTCTTACTCTTCTGTTGGTGGATTCACTCATCCTTTGTCTGCCTTGTGTTTTTTCTTGTCACACTTTCCTTCCCTAGGAATCCCCTCTCCTTTCTAGCCTTCTCTCCTCCAGCCAACCACCCTGCCTGCTGTGCTTTTGAGTAAAGGCTTCCAGTCCCTTATCTGGAAAGGCCCGAGTGACTGCACCCTCCGGAACTACCTCAGATAGTTGTTTCGCTCAGACCTCTTTCATGGGGCTTTTTCCAGTTTCTTGGGTTAACGTCCCTCATGGTGTTGTTGTCACGCCCTGTTTTTCTTACAAGGTTTTCTACTGAGAAATAAGGTATAACTTTGATTCACATTTGTGTCTGGTGCAGCACCTTGAATGAGTGAAGTGCAGTAAATGGTTATGAAATCAATGTCACATAGAAGTACAGAGGAGGGAGGTGACTTACCTAGAGCCACACAGCTGGTTCCAGGCTGCATTTAGATAAGAAGGTATTGATGCAATACCTCGATGTCTTAAAATTAAGAGTGTCTTTTAAGTGCTGAGGACAAGGAAAATGTGTTTCATTGAGCGAGTGCCTTTGCCAGCGGAAATAAACACAAGGCTGTGGGAAGAATGGTGATGCTGTCCTGTGCCACTGACTCAAGTTTATCTTCAGCTTGTAGCTGTAGGAATGAGGAATCACCCCTTGGATCTGGCAGTGCAGTTCACAGCCAGTGCCTGTGCGCTCAACTTAATGCGCCAGGGCCTGGCCCGGGGGGTGCCTGTGCGCCTGTTGTCGGAGATCACCTGTCTGCTGTTCAAGGCTCTGAGAAATTTCCCCAGTTACCAGCAGGTAATTTGAGTTGAATGTTGTACTTGTTAATGCTTTTCTTTTTTCTTTCTTAAAAAAAAAAACCCAAAATTTCAAAACAAGATAATAGGAGGGTAGCAATGGTTAATATGTTGTGTATTGTTATCTTTAAACTAGTTACTCAGAGTACAAGATATAGGCATTTAATTGTCCAAATTGTGCCTTTTACCCTCATGAAAAACATGTATTATTTAGGGTTTTTTTTTTTTTCATTCTCCCAGAGAAAGAAAGAAAAGAGGGAGTGGCAAAATAGATAAGGAGTTCATATTTGTTATAGGAAAATACGAAATATGGATAAGCAGTAAAGTTAAAAAATTTTAAACTCGGATAAACCAGTTACCCAGACACATCTTTTAACAAGTCAGTATATACTTATAGGCTTAAAAAGCTTGACCTTTAATGCATACATGAAAGTTAGGTTGAATGGAAATACAGATCTGTATATAAAAGCCAAAACCGAGAAACTTCTGGAAGAAAACAATTTTTTTTTTTTGTACGGGGAATTGAACTCAGGACCTTGTACTTGCCAGGCAGGCACTATGCTGCTGAGCTATATCCCTGTCCCCCAGACAATATTTTTAACTCAGGGTAAGTCAAGTTATTTTAAGGTACAAAAGCTACATACTTCTTTTTTAAATCAGAGCTGATTGCCATGGCACAAACCTACAGTTCCACCTACTTAGAAGACAGGCTGGAGAACTGCAAACTTGAAGGCCATTGTAGGCAGTTTATCAAAACATCATATCACAGTTTCTTTTTTTTTTCTGATACTAGGAATCGAACTCAGGACCTTGCACTTGCCAGGCAGGCACTTGTGCCTCTGAGCTATATCCTCAGCCCTCACAGTTTCAAAAAGGGGAGCAGGCATGGTGTAGAATGCCTGTAGTCTCAGCGCTGTGAGAGTAAGGCATGAAGATCTCAAGTTCAAGCCCAGTCTGGACAACTTAGTGACTTAGCCAAAGCTGGTCTCAAAATAAAGAGCTGGGATACCGCTCAGGATAAAGGCCCAGGATTCAATCCTCCGTACTGCAAAATGAAGTAGCGGGGCTGGAGATGTAAATTAGGGGTACAGCATTTGCCGGGCATGCGCGAGGCCTGGATTTCATCTGCCAGCACTTCAGGGTACGGGTAATTATTCAAAACTAAAGACTGTTGGTACACACACCAAAAAGTATTTTTGAAGATTTGAAGATGATCAATATATTTACTTATCAGGGAAATTCACTTTAAAACTACAATGAAATACTACAACTCCTAGAGATCATTCTACCTCTCTTAGATTGGCTAAAAATTTAAAACGTGACCATAGCAGGGTGTGCAACAACCGAAATTCTTTTCTCTTTTTGGTTTTTTGAGACAGGATCTCACTATGTAGTGCGGGCTGGCCTTGACTGCCATGCCTGGCTGAAATTCTTACATTGTAAGAATGTAAAATGATAATAAGCACCAGCTCAACAGTGGTAATTTCTTTAGAAGTGAAATACACACTTTCCATACCCAATCAGTCTGTGTCTTGCTATCTGCTGAAAAGAAACAAAGGTTTATGTTTATATAAATGCTTATACACAAATGTTCATAGTAATTTTATTTCTTGTGTGTGTGTGTGTGTGTGTGTGTGTGTGTGTGTGTGTGTGTGTCTTTGAGGCAGGTTCTCTACGCAGTTCAGACTGCCCTTGAGCTCGCTTTGTAACCCAGGCTGGTCTCGAACTCAAAATGATCCTCCTGCCTCAACCTCCCAAGTGCTGGGAAGTAACTTTATTTCTGATCACAAAAAATTGAAATTGGGCTGGGGAGATAGCTCAGTGACACAGCACCTGCCTGGCGAGCACAAGGTCCTGAGTTCGTTTCCCAGTACCCCCCCACAAAAAAACCCTGAAATCATCCTAAATGTCCGACAACAAATGAATAAACAAATTGTAATTATTTGTATAAGGAAATAGTATTTGGCACAGAAGGAATGGAGTACTGATACCTACAACGTGGATGAATTTCAAAAACATTTGCCAAGCAAAATATGTGCAAAGTAGGTACTATATGATTCCATTTATCTGAAACTTTCTGGGACTGGAGCTTGAAAGTTGGATTCCCCAGAAGGGCTGACTCCCAGTGAACCTCTGGGGGTGATGGAAGTGCTTTGATTGATTGATTGATTGATTGATTGATTGGTTTTTTTGAGGCAAGGTCTTGCTATGTAGTTCAGGCTGGCCTCGAACTCAAGGCAGTCCTCCTGCCTCAGCCTCCTGAGTGCTGGCATTACACATTTATGCCACCACACCAGGCTTGATGGAAGTGTTTTTAAAGCTGACTGTGATGGTTACACAGGTGAATAAACTTGTCAGCTCCAACTGAAATGTGTACTTGTAATGTGAGTTGATTTTTAAAAATAAAATAAGGATGGCCCTTTAAGAAGTCTGTATTTTTGACTAGTCTTGGGAAGTTGCAAGATCCTGCACACCCAGCCTTTGTTTTTTTTTTAAGCAGTGGCAAAGTTTATTTGAAAAAATGAAGAGTGAGGGAGAAACTGGCTCTGCAGAGCAAGCTTGGGCTGAGTAAAAGAGGAAGAAGCAAGATCAGAGGACCCTCTGGAGGACGCAGGGCGGGTTATCGTGAGGCAAGCCTTCGTTCTTGCATGGGAGGCATCCGTTGTAGGATTAAATGAAAACCTTGTAAAGGTCTGGGTCCGCTGCAAGCGTAAACATGAACAGCTCACTGGTAGCACTGTCAATAGAACCTGTTTTTAGAATGAAGTATTACATTTGCTCATTCACTTCTTTTATTCTCTTAAGTTACAGAAGAATTGTCTTCTCTCCTTAACCAATTCCAGAATTCTCATGGAAGTTCCCTTTGACAGGCGAGTATAAACTTGGTCCTTCATCGTGCTGTTGGGTAGTGTTACCCTGAGCATTACTGGCCTTTGGCTGTCAGCAAGGGTGAGATTAAGGCTGATAAGGTACTGGGGAGAAGTTGCTCCCTTGAACCTCTTCCTCAGGGACGCGCTTGGCCCTCTAGTTGCAGATGTTCTCCCCGCGGTGATTCTAGTCCCTGCGGTCGGGGAAGAACATGTGCTCTGGAGAGTCACGCATTCCTTCCGTTATCTTTGCACATAGGTTTCCTCATGAAGTAGTGAGTGACTCTTGTTCTTGTTTGTTTCCTTTCATGGTACTGTGAATTGAACTCAGGACTTTCTCACTGAGTGCATCCGAGGCCCTTTCTGGTTTTTGAGACAGTTCCTGAGTCACTGAATTTCCCAGGGTGGTCTCAAACTTGTATTCCTCCTGCCTCAGCCTCCCAGAGTGCTGGGATTACCGGCATGTGCCACCATGCCTGGTTAGTAGTGACTCTTGAGGGAATTACATGTGATGATTGTAAAATATCTGTAATAGTGCCTGTCTTTAGTATTTGTTGCTCTAATAAACCTTAGCCATTTTTTTTATTATTTTGGCATTAACTGATTATTAATTTAAAAAATTATCCTGTGCATTGGCATTGCACAGGGATTCTTTTTGAGACATTTGTAATCTTCGACTCACTTCTCAGTTTAAAACATGTATACTAGTGCTGCACTAAGCACAGAAGTTAAGCACAAGCTGTGAGCTGAGCTCTGCATTTTGGGGGCACGGTTGGCTGTAGCTGAAGTCACTCCAGCTGAGTGATGTGCCTGGCGTTTTGGCAGTGTCTGCAGTTCTCATTACAGACTACTGCTTCTGTGGCAGCTGCCTCCTTTTTTCAGACTCACCATCGTAAGAAATGAATGCCAAAATGTTGAAGTATTTCTTAGATCTGTTGAGCTTGTGATTATGTTTGCTTTAAAATTTTCTTGCTGGGGATCAGACCCAAGACCTGGCACATGCTAGGCAAGGGCCCTCCCACTGGGCTACACCCCAGCCTGCTCACAGTTTCACAAACTTTGTGTAATTGCGGGCGAAACGAATTCTGCTTTTCAGGTTTAGTGCTACCAGGTTTGTCCTAGGATGGCTCTACCGGCACGAGAACCCCAAGGTCCAGACCATGGTAGTGAGCATCATCTCTACCCTCGCCCTGCAGGTAATGGCGCTGGGTTGCCACAGCCAGGGCTGCCGCGGCCAGGGGGGCTGTCTCCCTCTTCTGACGGCTGGGACACTTCACCTGTGGCTTTCTGTTTGTTTTTAGCTATCGCGTGAGCAGGTTACACAGCTGCATGAAGACCTCTTCATGGCGGTGAAGGTGGGTTGAGTTGATAATTACTTTTTTTAAAAAATCAAAGTGATTTTTAAGGAATGCAATTGAAAAAAATGAAATCATTCTCAAAACCCCGTGAAGATGAAAGTCTGTGAGACTTGCTCCCCTGAAGAAAAAGCTTTCTACTTCAACAGCTGTTTGCCTCCCACATTTCTTTTAAAAACGTTTATCCTGCAGTTTTTGTACTTTACTCGTTGTGGGTATTACCTATTGATTTTGTTGTTACGGTGAATAAACACTTATCCATCCTATATATACTTTTGTAAGTTTCTATCTTCCTCATTCTTCAACAAATTTAAAGTGCAGATTTTGATAAATCAATAATATTATTTACGTTAGGATTATGCTAACACTGCTTACTAACAGATGTGCATCGCTGTTTTGTTTTTCACTTCTCTTAGTTTAGAGGAATTTGAGCCACCTTTTAACATTTTTCAATGTTGGGCATTGAACCCAGGGGCCTCACAAATGCTAGTGGTCTACCACTGAGCCACAGGAGCTCCATCCGCAGCGCTTTGTTCTCCCTCCCTCCGCATGGGGTCTTGCTGTGCTGTCCAAGCTGACCGCAAGTGCTCCCTTCAGCAGCACATGTACCAAGTTGACCTTGTACCCCGGATCCTCCTGGCTCCCAAATAGCTGGGATTACAGGCATGTGCCGTCACGCTTGACTTTTCACGTCATTTATGTTTCATGTTAACTGTGCACTCATGGCCTTTATACAGTTTCTTTTGGGTTCTTGGCCTTTTTCTGATGTATAGGATGTTTTACATGTTAAGAAAATGAGCTTTTCACTTTTTTTTGCAGTGCTGGGACTCTAACCCAGAGACTTAGACTTGGTAGGCAAGCACTGTGTTGCTACAGTGAGCTGTCTCCCCAGTCCTGCTTTTGACTGTTTTTTTGATGCATTCTGTTTTTCCTCAGTTTGCTGTTTATCTGTTTTTACTTTGCTTATAGCATGTTTGGCTGTGTAACTTTTTTCTGTAGTTGAATTTTTTATGTTTCTGGGATTAATGGCACACTTGGGAAGTATTTTCCTGTTTTGGAGAGTAGTTTTTAAAAGTTCCTGTATTTTTTATCTGGCTGTTCTCTCTCTCTCTTTCTCTTTTCTTCCTCCCTCCCTCCTGTCCCTTCCTCCCTCTTTCCCTGCCTTTCTTTCTTTGGGCGGTGTGCTGAGAATTGAACCCAGTGCCTGCCACATGCTAGGCAAGTGCTCTGCCCCTGAGCTACAGCCCTAGCCCTCTTTCCTTTTTCAGTGTGTAAGTATTTATTTGGATTCTTTGTGAGATGTAGGGGTCTGTGGTAGGCAGGAGTTCTTTAGTTTGTATGTCCGTACGCCAGTCTTCTGGAAATACCCTCACTGTCCTCTAGGCATTTTGAGTCCAGCCAGGCTCACGCTGAGGATTCCAGGGTCCGTTTGTAACTTCTCCATGTGTTTCTATGTGGCCTCTGCACCCTTCGTTGAACAGTTTTCTTCTCCCTACTGTTATGCAGTCTCTTTTTATCATGTATTAAAGTTCCTTGTACATTTGCATCTGTTTCTCAACTTTACTCTGTTCTATTGTTATGACTATTTTCTAATTTTATAAATGTTTGAATATTAAAATCTGTATTTTAGTTGCTTTTAGTTATCTGTTTTATATATGCAACCACCAGAACTGGCTTTCCTAAGAAAAAAATCTATTTTTGTTCTGTTGTATTAAATTTGTGGATTGAGTTCGAAAAAATTAACACCCAGTGATGTTCATCTTTCTCTAAGAATAGCGCATGTTATTCCATTTATTTAAGTCTCTTATATATCCCAGAAGAATGTGGAATTTTTTCCCATGTTTCTATTGTATATTTGTAACATTTATTCCAAGACTCTGTACCTTTGACATTGATGCTAGGAGGCGAATCTTTTGAGTATTTGATATTCAGCTAGTGGGTTTATTCTGTTCCATTAGTTTGTATATCAGTTTTATAATAGAGGTAAAGTTGAGGATAAAAATAGGTATAGAAACCAAGAGAGGTGTTGGACATGTTAATTTCTGAGGTGCTTGAGACGTCAGGAGGGCAGTTGGATATGTGGAATGAGGACTGTTGAAGTTGGCAAGCTAGAGGTTGAGTCGCTGGACATTTTGCTTACATTATTTTAATAGTATGAAGGGCCAGAACCTGATTTCCCCTGATTGGGAAAATGGGAAATGAAAGGTGGAGGCAGCTTTTTAAATATATTTTAACGAGGGCAGCAGAGAAATATATGTAGTTAGTATTTTTTTTTTGTAAGATGGCGTACATCAGCACTTTGTAAAATTTTTTTTTTTTTTTTTGGCAGTACTGATGATTGAATGTAGGACGTTCACACTGAGCCGCATCACCAGACCTCTCTTATTTTTATGATGAACTGTCTTGACACATTCTGCCCTGAGCGGGCAAAATACTTGCTGGGACTCTCCTGCTCTCTGTTAACAAGCATGTCCCGATGTTTGGTGCTGCTTTATTCTCTGTGTCTTTTCATGGCCTGTGCAGTGAAGGTGGTCGTCTGTTTCCTCTCACTTAACAGTGTTGATGCCTGAAAGAAGAAAGAAGCTGTAGGTGCTAGCTTGACTTGTCCAGAAATAGTCTCTGCTAAACTGGCAGGTTGCAGACTGATAGTCAGCCAGAGGCCTCTCCAGGTGCGCGGCTGCACGGCTGGAACTCTGGAGTTGAGCTCCGGCACGGTCTGGCCTCGAGAGCACCTGAGTTCTTACCCAGGACTCTGCCAGGCCTGTGTGTGCTCCTCTCCTCTGCCTTGTTCCCTGGTCCTGGCCTGGCTGGCTTTTTCTTCTCATGTAGCTTAGTTATCACCTTCCCTCTCCCACCCTGTCTAAATCCTTAAACGTTTATGCATTTCTTTCAGGACATTTGCCAAAACATAAATTCCTTCATTTAGGTGTGAAAAGCCAACTTTTGTTTTGCTCTTTCTTATGCAAATGAGTACCTGACTTACACATAACATTGGCTAGGTTCTCAATCAATAAAAGTGGGAGAGCTAATACATACTTGATAATCAGCTTTATTACCAACCAATCTAGAACTGAGCTAAATGCTCAGGAAACTTTAAATCTGTTTTGTTTTTAATTCTGCTTTAGAGATTGAACCCAGGACCTCCTTGTACATACTGGACAGTTGCTGTATTGCTGTGCTACACTTCTAGCCCCAAAGCTAAAATTTTTGGTTTCTCTTTTTCAGTTAATTATAAAAAGTATGAATGGTAGGTATAATTCACTTTATAGAAAGAAAATAGATCAGTAGAGTATTAAGTGGTAGATCGTGGTTTTGATTCTAAAAGTCTTAACTTTGCTTTCCTTAAACTGGAAATTAGCATGTCATGAGAGCGTCTGACTCCCTGTCTCTTTGGTTTTTAGGAACTTCTAGAAATAGTAAAACGAAAGACTGCTGAGAATTCGGATGACACCACCCTCTTGTTTTCTCTCAAAGCACTTTGGAATCTTACCGATGAGTCTCCAGCTACCTGCAGGCACTTTATGGAGAATCAAGGGTTGGAAATCTTCATCCACGTCTTGGAGGTGGGAATACAGGATGGAGTTCATATGTAAAATCCTTTCCTGCATGAGCTGGGTTTGGTGGCATACATTATAAAATCCCAGCATTTGGGAGACTAAGGCAGGAGGATTGCTATGAGTTCAAGGCCAGCCTGGGCTACATAGTGAGTTCAAGGCCAGCCTAAACTACATATAGCAAGACCCTGTCTCTAAAAAAAAACTTTCCTTCATGAAAAAGTAACTTGTATATTCTTTTGACAGACTTTTCCAGAGTACACAGTACAAAGCAAAGTACTTGGTCTTTTGGTAAGGTGAATTGTTCTGAATTAATTTTAATTACTTAGAGAAAACTAACCGTTATATAATACCTACTATGTGCTAGGCACCTTTGGAAGCAGCAATTTACATGTATATACTCAATTTTCACATTATTTCCATAAATACCACTATATATCAATCAGTGGTATATCAGAGAAATCAGTTATCTATTTCTGTGAATAAATTACAACTTAGTGGCTTAAAACAGTAGCCTTTTTATTTACTTAAGACCCTGTTCAACAGTTTGGGTTCACCTCAGCTCCACAGTTCCGCTGGTCTCATGCAGGGAGACTCACGCGGCTGTGGTCATCTGGTGGCTTAGCGGGGACCAAATGCCCCACGCTGGCCTGACTCACGTGGGTGTTGGCGGTCAGCTGGGCCTTGTGTCTCCCTGAGCGTCTTCACGTGGCAGTCTCCGGACAGCTAGAGGGCAAGTACAGGTGCTTTCCAACCTCTGCTCACACCACATTTGCTGACATCTCATTAGGCAAAGCAGGTTACATGGTTCAGCCCAGGTTAAAGTCTGTGTCCATCCTTGATGGGAGGAACAGCAGAGTCACGTTGCCAAGAGGCATATGCACAGGGATAGGAAAGATTGTGTTGTGACCGCCACACATTGTTACCCACATCCCATAGACATGGAATCCAAGGCCTCGAAGTACTGGTTATCCTTAATCATCTAATCAGTAAGAGAATCAGAGTTCAAACATAGACAGGCCCCAGAACCTCTGATATTAGCCACTTTGCTATACTCTCTTTTATCAAGGTAGTCAATGCTTTAGAAGTTTGTTTGTTTATTTAGTGGTACTAGGAATCAAACTCAGGACCTTGTGTTTGCCAAGCAGGCACTATGCCGCTGAGCTACATCCCTGGCCCCTAGAAGCTTCTTTGGTCATAATCCTGTACTGCCTTTCAGTCAGATACTGCATAACTGGCAAATTTGTTTCCTAAAGATAAAGGTTTACAAAGCACAGTGAAAACATACTGTAAGCACCTTCAGTGTTCCCTGCTGGGTGCAGTGGGAGACACGGATGCGTGATGTAGAGCAAGCAGATGGTTCTGGTAACTTTGGGCAGGTGGTGTCATACTACTAGAGGGGTAGCTAAGGTCGTATCTGTATGTGTTGAAAGAGGCCAAGTCCAGCGGGAACTTCAGCTTCCAGATTATGAACTCTTTGAAAATCAGGATCATGGTCAGTCCTCTGTGTGTACCTGTCAAATACAGGACTCAACGCAGCACATGGGAATGCTGTCACAGAGAGGAATAAGTGATTTACCCTCCGGATTCTAACACTGAAGTGTCAGGAAAGGACAAAGAAAGTGGGGGACAATATAAATGTAATCACATGAAGAACTCTATAAAATAGAAGTTGGGAAAGAGAAGAGCAGTGGGAAATATTGCCAGAAAACTGGAATGAAGCCTCATGCATCTTATACAGTACAAGATGTACTTTGTAATTTTAGTGGTTTTTTTTTTTTAGGGTGTTGGGTATTGAACCCAGGGCCTTTGTCTTAAGCTACATCCCCAGCCCTTTTTTATTTTTTATTTGAGACAGCTTCTCACTAAATTGCCCAGGCTGGGCTTTTGGGGTTGAACTCGAGATCCACTTGCCTCAGCCTCCCCAGGTTGTGGGATTGCAGGTGTGCACTGCCCCACCCAGTTTAAAAGATCTACTTTGTATGTTGGGTGTGTAGCTCAGTGGGATGCTCTGGGTTTGATCAGGCACCACACACATACTCTTTCTATCTTGTTAGGAGCCTCCCTTAGACTGCTAAATGTTTACAGGAGAAATAGTGAGCCGCAAGTGAGGTGTCTCTTTATGTGCACCAAGAACACTACTATCTTGGCTCCTTGTTTGGAGCCGTCTGATAGGCATAACCCTGAACTCATGCCATTAACAAGGGGAAGAGTGGGCCAGGGCTATCCTAAAGACAGTGTAATTTGTGCTTCAGTCTTTACTGCCTGTGCTCTTGTCAACATACCAGTATCTGGGATGTACTTTCCTGAAGCTGCTGAAGCAGCAGAAATGTTAGCAAGAATTTAAAGTGACTGCTCTGTTTACTTTGGCTGTCTTAGCGCGTCAGACTTTTGCCTTGTATGAACAGGCCCTAAAGTGGCCCGCAGTGATTCCATCCTCCTGGGGTTCATGTCTTTTTACGCTCCCCTGTGCTTAGCTGTGGGCAGGACCTGTTAACCTGCTTCTAACCAAGAGAATATGCAAAGATGATAGGGTACCACTTCTTGATTATTTTACAAGGTACGTACAAAACCATCTTCGCTAGCCAACTGTTTCCCACTGGCTTAAAAGGAATAAGCTCATGAAGTAAGTGGTTGTAGAAGGGAGGTGTCTACATTTCAAGGACATTTGGGCCACCTTTAGGAACTCAAGGTTACCTCCAGCAAGAAACCGAGTCTCTCAGTTCTGCAGCCGTAGGAAATGCATTCTGCCAGCAATCTCAGTGAGCTGGGAAGTGGATTCTCCCTCATGGAGTCTCCCAACGAGGATGCAGTCTCACAAGACTCCAGAGTAGAGGACCCAGCAAAGTGACCAGACTTCTGTCCCACACAGAGTTTGAGGTGTAATAAATGCATGCTTTTTAAGTCACTGAGTTGTGGCAATTTGTTACACAGAATAGAAGACTGATGCAGTATATAAAATTAGGAAAATATTCTTTGCCTTTCATTGTTAGTGTTAAACTTCAGGATAAGGTAACATTGATTAGGCTGCTAATAAAGTTAAGTATGTGACTTGGGCTTGGATTTGTATTCTAGTTTGGCAGTTACTAGCAATGCGAACCTGACAAATAGTCTTGCTGCAAGCAGTCAAGTTTCTCTGTAGGGTTATTTTAAAGAAAAAATGAGAGAGAAAGCAGATTAGAAAGGCATTTTTCTTTACTGCTGTGCCTGGCACTTAGTGTTTACTCAGGGATTTGTTATCAGTGATCATGGTCATCTTGAAGGGGTAGGATTTGGGTGTTAGGCTAAAAGCGCAGGGGGAGGGAGTGTGGGGAGTGTGTCTAAGCTGAGTAGCAGGAAAGAGAGAAGAGCGAGTTCTCGAGTCTTTCTCCCTCCTGCCCCTGATGCTCTCGTATCCGTCTGGCCTATAGAACAACATAGCTGAAGTTCCAGAGCTCACCTCCAGGCTGATGACTAAAGATGTCGTGAAGCACGTCAGCGCTTTACTCCACAGCAAGCACATGGAAGTGAGCTATTTTGCTGCGGGTGTAATAGCCCACCTGATGTGTGACAAACAGCCCTGGCCGTTGGGTGCCTTTCAGAGGACTGCTGTTCTCCAGGACTTGGTACAGGAACCATTCTTCTTCACAAAATCTAGTGTATCTCTTCTTGCAGATAATGTATGTTTCCAGGTCACACGAGTTCTAGAAGTCATGTGATCACTGTAAAAACGAGGAAACTAAAGAAAAAAATTGCAACTTGCCCATACTCGGCCACCTGAAGCTAATCTCTGTTAATGTTCTGTGTGGTGCCTCTTGTGCATGGCGTATTCTAATCCTCTCTTCCACTTTTAGCTCGTTCTAAAACTATTCTTTTGATGTTTACGTCCATATCTCTAAGTAGCATATTTCTGTTCTTGACTATAACTTTAGGCATCATCAGTTGGTTTTTCCATCCTGGGGTTATTTTCTCCTGCCCGTCCCTCTGTGTACCCTTCCTGTGCTCCAGCCGTGAGTGTGTCAGTACATTCAGACATACCCGGCTTTCCCTTCCCAGAGCATCTTCCCCGAGCCTGCAGTGTCCCTCCCATTTGGTGTGCGTGTTGTGTGTATCCACCGTACCTCTGTCACTGTCATTGCTAGGATACTCCTTCCCCGCCATCCTGGGGATGCCCCTTGTCTCTCTGATGTCAGGTTCCCTACTCCCCCGCAGAAGCATGGCTTCAGTAGTTTGGTTTTCCCCCTCATGTTAAGTCATGTCCTCTAGTTGCTTCCTAAGCAGAAGTACATGAGAGTAAGAACTCACTGGGTCAAAAGCCTGGATATCAAGTCTAGCTTTGCAATAGCTTCCAACAGGATTTTTAAGCCCGTGTTCTGTTCTTTTGGTCCTCAGTATTGCTGTTGAGACATCACTCAGGTTCTTTTGAAGGTCCATAGTGTGTAGAAATCACAGTGAGGTGTCTTCATATGAGTTTATTTTCATATGTTTGATTGAGTACTTACCACTAGTACTTCCTTCTGTTCTGTTTTTTTTTTTTTTGGTGGGGGTGGTGGTGTGTACCAGAGATCGAACTCACAGCCTAGCCCATGCTAGACAAGTGCTCTTCCAGTGATCTGCGTGCTTGGCCTGAAGTTGTTCAAATCTATTGTAAATCCCATTCTTTTGTTTTCCTTCTCTTTCTGGGGGGTTGGTCTTTCCGGGCTCATTTTTTTCTGATCTTTTTGAAAAATTTCCATTTCTGTTGGATTTTGTATTTCTGCTGTTACAAGAACAACTTTTTTGTTCTTTGGGTGCTTTTCTTTTCTTGCCTTTCTTCCTCCCCTCCCTACCCTTCCTCTTGCTTTGTTTTGCTTTATGAATGAAATTAGGGCTGGGCTAGTTAGGCCTCACCAGTCATCTGAAATGGTACACAACTTTATCTTTTATTTGGGGTGCTGGGGATCAAACCCAGGGCCTTATGCATGCTGTTCAGGTGTTCTACCACTGAGCTATATATATCCTCAGCCCCTATCTGAGGGCTTCTAAAATATGCTGTCCTATCCTTGTTTTATGTGCTATATGTTTTTATTTATCTCTTTAAAAGGTATTGACAATTTTTAGTTTTATTTTTTCAGGGTTTCCTCTTCCTTCAAGGTCTCTATTTTCTGCAGGTTTCTCTTTTTTTCATATTTTGTTCTGTTCCTTTATGTTAGAGATAGTCTGAGAATATGTGGTGGTATTTGTCAGTCATTGGCTATTAATGTCTAAGAGGATAACTATTTGGAAGCCAGATAAGTGGACCTTTTCAGCTGTGGGCATCACTATAGAGGATATGGATTAAGTGTCCTTCGGTGTCAGTGTCTGTAGATCTTTTGTCTTAAACTGGTTGGAGCATACCTGGAGAAGTCTTATGTTTTCTAGCACAGAAGTATAAGTTAGATTGCCATTCATCTAAAAGCTTAGTGTCTTAGGCACTTTCCCATGGCTGGAACAAAATACTTGATACCTGCAGCTGAAGAAAGAGAGGTTCTTTGGCTCATGGTTCAGTTCATGGTTAGCTGCTCCAAGGCAGAAACAGCATGGTGGGAGGGGATGGCAGATGACAGCTCCTCAACCCACGGCAGGAGAAATCAGAAAAGGCAGGAGTCAGGGACAAAAGTACTCCCTTCCAGGTCTCAACTCTGATGACCCACTTCCTCCCAACTAGACTCCACCAGCTTGTCCACAGATTAGTCCACCAGTGAGTATTGTCCACCCACGGTCAAGTCACCTTTCACAAGCCCTACCTGTGAATGCATGAGACTTTGGGGGAACATTTTAGAGCTACAGAATGTACTGCCTAAAGAGATCTGGGGACAAGAGAGACTCAATATTAGGCACGTAGATTTTCAGTTCAGTCCTTTTTAGCATGGTGTTCCCACTCTTAATGGTTCCTGGGGTTGCCTAGTCCAGATAGGACTGTTAGGGATAGGAGAGGAGGTAACAGAGGTTTTGATCCTTTCATCCATCCTCTCAACTAACCTCCTGTTTAATTGAAAAGTTATCTGGCATGCCAGATTTTTAATCCTCTTAGGGATTCTGTTCTTTGTTTTCTGTGTGTCTGCTTTCTTCTGTTCAAAGTCATTTTACTACAGTGTTCTGTCAATGCATAAAAGGAAGGAGTATAGATAAATGCCTGTTCAGTTTACTACCTTTAAAAAAGCCGCCTTGCTGCATTTTCCTACTTTACTTTGTTCATATATTCTGTGTATATAATGGATAATTGATCATTGGCAAGAAGATGTATCGAAATCTGTTTAATCATTCCTGTATTTTGAAGAGTCACGTTGTTTCAGATATGTGTGGTTATAAGTGACACGAAGTAGTCTACAGTGAACTTCCTTTACATGGTGGAATATAATACTGAACTTGCAGTTTCTCCTTTCTGTCTCTTGGAGTATAGCATGCAGCCATCCAGAAGTGGCCGAGTTCAAGATGTAAGATGTCAGCATTGTTGACCTACAGGTAATTTTATTATGATGTAGTGCTTTTTTTTTTCTTTTTCCTTTTCTTTTTCCTTTTATTTATTTTTTGTCTTTTTGAGACGGTCTCACTATGCAGTTCAGGCTGGTCTTGAACTCACAGCGATCTTCCTGCCTCAGCCTCCTGAGTGCTGGGATTACAGGCGTGCGCCACCATACCTGGCTTTTTTTTTTTTTTTAAAGTATTGAAGCTTTTGCAATTTATTAAAAATCTGTATCCAAAAATACGTTGGCAACACTTTTGGTTATTTACCTTTGTGATTGTGTATTTACTTGTTTTTTATTTTAAAAGAGTAGTAAAAAAACAATAGCAACATACCAACACTTACAGACATAAACAAAACAAAGCAAGAACATTAAAAGTGATACAGGTTTTCATATAGTGCTTTTCTTAAAGCTTGTCCTTGATGTACTTGATGTACAGTGATCAAGTATCAGGTGTCGTTTAGCCTCGTGTTCAATCCCGTGTTTCGTGATAGGAAAATCATTTCTAGGGAAACTATGAGACTCAGTTTTCTTCATCTGTGAAATGAGGCGAGAGGTCACAAGACTGAGGATGAAATGAGATCCTGGGTATACAGAGTGTCTGACACGGAATGTAGTTAATTACACGGTAGCCCGTGCTAATAGCTGCATAATACTTCTGTCTCAGTGAGGAACTGACCCTGTGGGAAATGCTGAGAATTATTTTTCTATTCCAATTCTGAATTAACCTCTTTTTACTTTTTTAGATCCTTCAAGGCATTTTTCCCACTCCTCGGCAACTTCTCTGAGCCAGCGGCTCAGCAGTGGGCCCTGTGGGCTGTGTACCACGTCTGCAGTCGTAACCGTATGTGTTCCATGTGTATTCAGAACAGTGATTTTCCAGCTGTTTTTCTGAACAATGAATGATTTCAAGACAGATTCTCAAAAATTGTCTCCTTATGCCCTCCAAATATCACTCTTTTCTTTATACTATAGGTGAATTAAATTCTTTTTAAAAAGAAAACATTATTTCATTAGTTTTAAAAATGCTGTAGAATTAGTAGTGTACTTTGGTATGGAAGTCTAACAGTGTAGAGAGTAAAAATTAGTTTCCACCAGGCAAACAGCATTAATAATTTGATAACTACACATCCAGCTACTTTTCTATACATGCTGTTTTTAGTATATGCTGTTTATAAACTTGATACAAAATCATATACCTATGATTTTATACTGGAAAGTCCAAGAAACAACTTGGAGAATTAGAGGCTTATTTAGCTTATTGACTCTACATAAACTGTGTAGCATGTTGACTATATATAAAGTGTAAAACTCCAATAGATGTTTTTTGTTTTTGATTTTTTGAGACAGGGTCTCACTATAGAGTCCAGGCCTTGGTTTTGACGCTGAGGGTTGTCTGGAAGTAGACATTGAAACGCTCATGTTTTCTCACCCTGCAAGCCAAGCATTACTGAAGTTTTCACAGATTTCTCTGGAATCGACTAATTTTACTTGTTAATTCCTGGGTCAAAGAGCTGAAGTTTTTGTAGTTTTGCTTTCTAAAGGTATCTGTGGTGACCTGGGAATATTCAAAATGCTGCTTGTCTTTCTCTTTCAGCCAGTGTGTACTGCAAAATGTTAGGTGAAGAAGGAGGACTGCAGCTTTTGTGTGACATCCAGGCACACAGTCAGACAAGCCCGCAGGTACGGCAGATCGCGGATTCCATTCTGGAGGACTTCAGGATGCATTTCACGGCCTACCGGAGACTCACTGCGCATTGAGTGCATTTTTTGCACCTAAGGGTCCCTGGAGATGTGCTGTTCCCCAGCAGCAGGCCTCTGCCCTGTGGGTAATTCAGTGTTGAAACCAGTTGTTGGAGCTTGTGAGTCGGCTGTCTCATTGGCCTTTTGTTGATTTTTGTTGTTGTTGTTAAGTTATGAAAGGATTATGGATTCTTACGCTAGTCATAAACCCAGGTCGAGGTGGAATCATTTTGGGGCTACTGCCTCAGCAGCAGTTTGGAAAAAATCAAACCACCGCCTTCAAGAAGACCTGGGAGCTTGTGTTGAAAGAGCTGGATCAGTTTTCTTTGGCCGTGGACAGTTCTTCACGTGGGGAGCTTGTCAGATGAACAGGACTTGTGTACCCAGAAGAGAAACCAAAGACTTACAGGAAAACCTTGGTTGTTATGTTAAATTTCTTCAGTTGTTCCTGGTAGTATGAAACTACCAGAAAAGAAATATATGCGGATGAGAAAATACGCTCATAGATTTGGTTTGGAAGGCAAAACTTCTGTTGGAGAATAAAAGAATTTATTTTTTACTGATACCAAATATTTTCCATTTGAGAGGTAGAGGGGAACTGTTTAATGCAGTCTTAATATTCTATCTGTATCCTTTCTTCTCCACCTTAACTAATTAGACCAAGTGAATGTGACACTCTGGGGACCTGGAACAGTGGAAGGGAGATTATACAGATTGTAAGTGTCATTGCCTTATGATTTGCTGTAATTTGGGGGGCATATGACCAGACTGGGGAGCGGAGGATGGGCCCAGAAAAGCTGCCAAACATTTCAAGGGGTGCTCTTACGCAGTATGGAGGAAAAAAGGGGTAACTTTTCTGAGAACCAGTCTCAACTATAAAATAAACTATCAGATACTTTAGGGACTTGAAAGTCCTGATTGATCATGAGCATGCTGAAGCACTAGTCTTGTGTTTTTAGCTGGCTTGGTGCAGACTCTTACTATTTATTTTGAGGTAAAGTGTCACTGTGTAACCCAGGCTGGCCTCAGACTTGTAATCCTCCTGCCTCAGCCTCCCAGATGCTGAGATTACGGGCATGCACTGCCACACCAGCCTGGTCTGGACTCTTAACTGGAGTATTGTGTGGCATCTTTGGGAATCAGGTGAGGAAGAAACTCACCCTCAGTTATTCTAAACTGTGTTCTAAACTGTTCCTGACCAGGGTCTTCATAGCTGGGCAGGATTTGTAACCAGGTCTTTCCATAGTCCCTAAACTAAACTGTATTTTCTCACATTCACTCTTCTGTATGATTCTAAAAAGGCTCTCTTAAGTTTCCTGACCTGGATTCCAGAATCTCGGAACACTACATTACCAGATACTAAGTTTGCTGAGGTGAGGATGTGTTGTGGGAACCAGTGTCTGCTGCACCCCGGCTCTGTAGCAGGTTTCCCTGCAGATTTTGTCTAATTCACAACAGCCCTCTGAGATTTTATTCTCCCCACTTAACAGAGAAAAAGGAAGTCCAGTAAGACTGACTTTCTTGGGTGGTCAGCGTGGTGAGGATGCACTCTGATTCTAAGGCCTGGACTTCTCTCGTCCCCTTCCAGGATACACGTGTAATGTTAGCACCCTTAGTGTCAGCAAATCAGCACCGTTACTGGTGTGTGTCCCTGCCTACACTCAGGACAGTCAGCCAGAGCTCACATCCAGCTAGAGGGTGACCACGGCACAGCCTTGCTAAAGAGACAAGTCTTGAGATTAGTACGGATCTGTGACTACCAGGCCGCCCCGATTGTTATTGTCTAAGTACCTCATTTCCTTGTTCACCTTTGCTCACGCCAGTCCGTTAACCTTCTTCTGCTAATCCTCCAGGCAGGCTAAGATTCCACCATTGCCTGCTCATTTCCCAAACTTCGCTTCTCTCTGTTAAAATTAATCACTCAGGTGGGTATGGGGGTGCACACCTGTAATCCCAGGTACTTTGGAGGCTGAGGCAGGATTGCAGCTTCAGGCCCCACCTACGTAACTTAGACTGTGTCAATAAAAAAAGGGCTGGAGATGTAGCTCAGTGCAAAGGCTCTGGGTTCAGTCCCCAGTGCTGGAAAGAAGTTGCTTTGTACGCTGAAGGCCAGTGAAGATCTTACTGCCATCCCACAGTTCATGGACAGTTTTCACAGTATCTCATTTGATCCTCAGGGGACACTGGAGGTTAACAGTTACATTTATTGAACGTGAGGGTTTAAAAAACCTTCCCAGTAGACTCACTGTGCAGATAACAAAGGTGACACCTAGGAAGTTAACAGTTTTTCCAAGGTTATACAGCAGGTAACCAAACACTGAGGTCCGAGTCCTGACACAAATTTGACCAGTACTAGGACTGATTGAATCTCTCCTGTCCAGAAGAAGAAACGAGGAGCTTTTTACAACCTCTTGCTGTCTCTCGTAAAAGCGTGTTGGTGAAGAGGGTGAGGCCAGGGCCTGAGAGCCTCCTGCACAGAGACGGAGGGCTCCACTTGAACCCCTAGTTGTCCTTTGTGTAGGGAGAGCCAAGCATTCTGCAGAGCAAACCAATGCCAGTGATCGTCTAGGTAGGGTGAGGAGCAAGGAGGGCAGCTGGAGGTGGTGTGGGCAGCGTGTGTTGGTACCAGGCCATCCATTTTGTGTCCATCACCTGCCTTGTGAAGAAACCAAAGGCCAGGAAGGTGCCGTGATGAGGCAGTACCGCTGCGGCTCCTTCGGGGTGCAGCTCCCATGCGTGGTCACTTGCCCACAAACTTGGGGGGCCGCTTCTCCCTGAAGGCTGCCATGCCCTCCAGCCGGTCCCGGGTTGGGATATTCTGCAACAGTGCACCGGATGAGAGTTAGGGGGCAGCACAGAGAGGGCTCACCAACCAGGTTGCTTGAGCTTACCGAGCTCGTGCCAAAGCTGGGGTCCTGGGTTCGGGTTGGGGGCCACACAGACCTAGAAGCCTCACGGCTGCTCCTTGCTGTCCCGGGGAAGGCCTGGCACCCTCTGGTACCTGTGCCTATCGCCCCTGTTTTCCCTCCAGAGGGCTCATGTTCTACAGCAGCTGGGTAGGGCTCAGTAGAGCTCTGGCTGCAGCAAGAAATGTAGCTTTGATTCCAGCCTCACAGCTGGTTCTCACTAGGTCTACCAGTCCCAAGACCCTTACTGTTAGGAGTGTTCTGGGTATTTATTATCCTTGGGATTAGTATTCTTCTACTCACCTGAGAGTTGGGCCAGCCTCAGGTTTGCAGTTGCTCGGTTGGGTACAGTCTGTAGCTTGTACCCAGGCCTTGACGGCCCACCTGCTGCCCGAGCCCTACAAGTGCTGCTGGCAGGGACAGCAGAAGCTGCTCTGCCAGGTGCTTGTGCAGTTCCTGAGTCTGGTCACTACGTGGGGCAGGATAAGCCACCATTTGGCAGTTGAGGAAACAGTCTCAGAGGAGCCGCGTGTCCCCCTGAGCCACTCCAGGTTAATTACCAGGAGGGGGTGGCACAAAGTCAAGCTTCCGGTCAAGCCTTCCCGATAGTCACACACTTAACGAGCGTGCCGGGGCTGGCCGCAGCCACATACCTGGGCATAGCACATCCCTTCAATGGCCATCCCCGATGCAATGTCCACCTGCAAGAGAAGCGCTCGCTGGTTCAGCCGGCCCCTCCCTGTGCCCATTTCTAGCATGCGGCCTCCCGCCTGGAGAGGCACACTGCAGACAGTGCTGGGAGAACGGGAGGGTTCGTCCTGTGGGCAGAGCTCCTACTTTGCTCCAGGCAGGAATGGGGGCACACTGCAGGCTCAAGCTCATGTCCCTGCCTCCCCACTGGCTTCTGCCCATGCCTTCTGCCCCTCCCAGGTCAGCTGCAGGCCTCAGGGCCCTGGCATTTTCTCCAGCCTCTGCTGCCCAGGCTCACTGCTGCCAGTACCTCTAAGTACTGTGGGTATAAACTTGTTTTCTTGGTGAGGCTTGTGAGCCCTGTTACACGGCTGGGAACCCCACTTGCAGCCAAACCATAGGTGGACGAGCAGCTCTGGAGCCTGTGCCCTTGCTCCTGTCCGGCTGCCTGCTCGCACACCCCGCTGCCTTTGTGCTGACTTCGGCTGTTTTCTGGAACTCTCTCCCTAGGGCCCAGCCCTGAGAAACATTTAACCTAGTACTTCCTGTACAGTGGCCTCCAGCCACGGGGGCTGTAAGTAAGCGGGGAGCTTTTGATCAAGTTTAACACAGCCTGTGGGCATCACAGAGCTCAGCTCTCACTGCTGGCGTCTGCTTGGTACCCTTATCTCCAGGCCGTACCTTGAGTCTGTCTTTCCCTGCCCACTGCAAAGAGTGCCCTGTCCCAGTTCCCACACTGGTCCAGAGTCAGCGTGTGAAGAGTGAATTGCTGTCCATGGGCAGATCAGCTGCACACACCCCAAGCCCTGTGCCCGAGCCCTGCACAAGCCAGAGCACGGACTGGGAGCCACACAGACCCGGGTCCTTCTGCTCATTCTTCTGACTTTGGGCAAGTCATTTGCTTCCTGAACCTCTTTCCTCCTCTCCACAGCGCAGAGAAGAGGACACACTGTCACTCGGGAATGTCTGGCCAAATGTACCACTTTGTAGATGAGTAGACTGAGGCACACGGTGAGGGGCCAGACTTGAAATCTGTGGAGGGTAAACTGAAATCTCTTTTCTCCATCGGTGCTGTCCCAAGAGCCAGGAAAACAGAACACCCAGCAACTGCTGCCCTTAGCATGGACCCAGGGCCTGTGCCGGGAGACTCACCTCCATCCCGCGGTCGATGGCCACTTTGCCCAGCCGCACAGCGATGGGGGCCTGGGGAAGAGAGAATCAGTGCTCGGCTGAGTGGCTCAACGCTGAGGTCTGCACTGCAGAGGCACAGCTCTGTCGGGCCGAGTTCCGACACCAGTATTCTGGTCCGTTGTATTTCCTGAACTTAATCCTCCTGCCTGTCAGGTCAAGCTGCTTTTTCTATAGTGAAGGATGTAGACTCTGATCCCGACCGCTGGTCCTCAGCAGCTGGGGTTCTAGTCATTCACCCTGTCCTTCCGGTGCTTACCATGCTTCCGGCTGTGTGATGCTGATCTCAGGGAGGGGAAGAACTTGGCTGCTCTGGTCCCCTTTCTGCTGCTGTCTTCTCCCCCACCTCCCATCTCGGCAAACAAAGGCCTCCGCTGATCAGGGTTTTTGTTTTGTACAACGTCCTTACTCTGTTCTTTGATGTACTTGCCATGAATGTATACATATACCACATACGCCATGTTACTAAGTACCCAAGTGAACTGATTTTTTTCACTTAAGTAAAAACTACGCGTGGAGATAGATATATTTTGAAAAGAATTATTAGAAATACTCAGTTATTTTGAAATGAGAATATGGCTTACACCAGACATAGTATGTTCCATTCCTTTGGTGTTCAAATAGAATACACAGCCAAGCCCTTTATTCAGTGGCTAGTGTATATTTACTATTTACGGGACAAATCTGACTTCATATATGGACCTCTTAAACCCACTAACTACTTACTGGTACTTCTTTTCTGGATTGAATAAACTTTCAGCTGTTCGGCGCCCTCTTTAGTGCTTTGTCCACTAGGTGGCAGCCGCGTGTCACACCGAGCCTAACCTAGGAAACCCTTCGTTCACAATTCCCAGGTTTGTTATTTGGGCCACCCAGTCTACACAGAAGGTCCCAGCGGTGAGATTAGCATCTGTAGTCCCTAATTTGTGGAAGACTGATGTTTCCGTATACGAGGTCCTTCTAAGTACTGAAGTAACACATACTGTAATTGAATTAGTTCAATACCATTACCCTGGAATGTTTGGAAATGCAATCATCTCGAGATTCTGTTACCCAGTTACCAAAAGGTGAACCACACCCAGAATCCAGGTGCAGCTAGACAGCTCCCGGGACGCTGCAGTCTGCCACTGCCCTGAGTCAAGAGGCTCCAAACACAGAAACCTGAGGGTGTCAAAACTGCTAGGCAGCTGGGTGTGGTGGCACACACCTGTAATCCCAGCACTCGGGAGGCTGAGGCAGGAGGATTGTTACAAGTTCGAGACTAGCCTGGGCTACAAAGTGAGCTCAAGGGCAGCCTGAACTGCATAGTGAGAAAAAAAAAAAAAAAAAAAAAAAAAAAAAAAAAAAAAAAACCTGCCTGGCAAAGGCACTGAGTCTCCACTTACATATAGTGACCCCCACCCTGCCTGGAAAGACATCTCGGTTGAAGAGACTTATTATCCCACCCTCTCTCCAGTACTAGGGATTAAACCCCAGGAGTGTGCTGAGCCACATGCCCCATGCTTGTTTTAAATTTTTCTTTTTAGAAGGGTGCCCCTAAATTGCTTTGGCTGACTTGAACTTGCCATCCTATCACACTCCCAGAAGGCTGGAATCCCAGGCATGTGCCACCATGCCCAGTTACTTATCTTCATGCTTAGTTCAAACACAGTCCTAAGGCCAGCGTGTTCTCAGGCATGGATGGCCCACCCTTGTGTAGCAGGGTGCACATCTTTTCCTACTTTCGCTTGGCCCAAACTCACTCTGCAGCACCCGTTTCTTTTCCTGCCTTTAGTAAAACTTTGCTACCGTTCGTGCTTGTCTTGACAAATTCTTTGCTCAGGACAGAAAGAACGTAGAAACCACGTCCAGAAGGAGGTCCCATACCCTAAAACTTGGTGACACTGCCTCCTTTGATGGCTCTCTACTTCCCGCTGCCACGTCATGAGCTGTGTCTCTGTGATGCACTTCTGCCATGTGCCACCTGCCTAGGAGCCAGCCAACTATGGACTAAAACCTCTACAAACTGAGTTAAATAAACATTTCCTATAAAAAAGAAATACAATCTTAATACTACAGTGATGTATGATTTACATTTTTATAGCCTTATTATAGTTTTGTAACATATTTGTAAAATTTTTTTGTATTTGAAATGTATTATAAATCAGGTGTGGTTGTACATCCCTATAATCCTAGCACTTTGGGAGGCTGAAGCAGGAGGATTGCAAACCAGTTCAAACCCAGACTGGGTAACTTGGTAATTTGGGAAGAACCTTGTCTCAAGAAAAAAAGGCTGGAGTTGTAGTTCAGTTTGAAGGCCATGGGTTCAATTCCCCGTACTTAAAGTATTATGTATTTGATATCCAAGTTTTTAAAAAGTTTTAAGAAGGTATAGTGGTGCATATCTGTAACCCCAGCACTTGGGAAGCTGAGGCAGGATGATTGCCATGAGTTTGAGGCCAGCCTGGGCTACATAGTGAGATAACAGCCTGAACTGCATAATGATACTGTCTCAAAAATAAATAAAATCGCATCTACTCTGCACTTTTAAAGGTAGCAGTTTCTACACTGTACTCTCTTTTATGCAAGCTAAGTCCCAGAATACTAGTGTTACCTGTTACTCTTTCTGGTGTTGCGATAACCTTTTGTACCTTGGTAAGCAAGTCCCTTAACTTTTCTGGGTCTGTCTTCTCACAAAATGATCAGCTGCCTTGTGCCAGTAACTGAGGCACACTGACAGTGTCTGACAGGAGGTACTGGTATGGGCGGGGTCAAGATTTATTACAAACTGGTGAGTCCTAACTCTGTTTCACCTGCTTTTTTCCTTTACAGAAACTCGAGACCTCCCCACTTCCTGCTCTATCCCCCTTAGTGAAAGCCAGCAGAGCGCCTCAGGCCCTTGAAGAAGATCCTGGTATCACAGGGTGGTTCAGGCCCTGCTGCTGGGCAGTGTCTCCTAAATCTGTTCACTAGGGAACAGCCCCTCCCCCATACATACAGGTCTCACTCTAGTCCAGCTGGCCTTGAACTCACTATGTAGCTCAGGCTGGCCTGGAACTCCAGGTCCTCCTGCCTCAGCCTCCTGAGTGCTGCGATTTACAGGCATGTGTCACCATGCCTGCTGGCCATACAGACCAATTCTAAACCTTTAAGAAAACTACCCCCAGAGATTATTAGAGCTGTTTTGTTGATGTTGTTTTGGGGGTGCTGGGGATTAAACCCAGAGCTTCACACTTGGTAGGCAAGCAATCTACTGCTGGGTTATATCCTTGAGGAGTTTAAAGTTAGTCTGACACATGTCCTGCATGATGTTTGAAAAAGTTCTCCACCATGCAGTGCACAGGAAGGATGGGCTGGTCACTGTCCACTTTAGGGTCCCGCCTTTGCCATCTTAGGGACACTTCAAGGCTATGCTGTACTATACAGCCGCTGCTAGCCACATGTTAGTAGCATTTGAGATGTAGCTGGTGTGAGTGAGGAGCTCACTGTCACCCACTGTATCTAACCGAAGTGGCCCTGGGCCATGCTGGACAACAGAGAGAGGGACGGCACCATCACCTCAGAAAGTTACTGGACAGCTATTCTGGGGGCTTCACACCCACTGGTTTCCACCCTTCAGAATTCAATTTTCATTTTAATTCAAAACCAAAATTTGCTTTGGTGGTGTTCACTGGATAGCTGAACAGCTGCCTCCCGCAGTGCCTCCCTCTGTGCCCGCCTGGCACCACACCTGGGGCAGGATCTCCTGGGCCAGGGCTCGAGCTCGGTGGTAGGCAGCATCGCCCTCCTCGTTCTGGTCCACGGCGTGGTTCACCAGCCCCAGTGTGTGGGCCTGCACCCCCGTCAGCCGCCGGCCGGTGAAGATGAGCTCTTTGGCCAGCGCCACCCCCAGGCAGCGGGGCAGCCTCTGAGTCCCTCCTGCCGGGATGGGGGGTGCGGGTGGTTAAGTCAGGCTGAGGGGAATCCTGAGAAGCCAAGATGGGGTGTTCAGGGCTTCTCAGGGCTGCAGGCTGAGCGAAGGAGGGCAGAGCCCAGCACGGGGGGCCAAGGGGAAGTAAGGAAGGACTTGGAGTGGAACTGGGCAGACAGACGCGCGGGGTTTGGGGGACGTTACCTGCCCCCGGGAGCAGCCCGCGAGTGGTCTCGATCAGCCCCATGACAGCTGTGGAAGCTGTTCAAACAGGAGCAGAGTGAATTCCTCCCTCCCTACCTCATACGCCACCCCTTACCCTGGGGAAGACAGCTACTCCTCTCCGCGTCCCTCCCCAGCCTCGATCCGGGCCTCCCCAGATTCTGCCTCTGAGAGCCCCAGCCGCCAGTCAGGAGGCTCAGGTCTTGACACCCCAACCCCCTCCCCGACCTCAGGGTGGGCAAAAAGATGGCAGCCCTCTTCTGCATGCAGGGTAGCGAAGGCTCTGATGGCCAGATGGTGCCTGAGCAAGGAAGGGGCTCCTACAAGGAGCCTGATGCCTGTGTGAGGGTTAATGGACTCTGCCTCATGCACCCGGGTCTCTGGCCTGGCCTTGAGTGTCCATAGCTCCTGCTCCCACCTCATAATACCTCTGAGCTTTCTGTCGCTGCCCAAAGTTCCTGACAGTTCAGTCTACATCCTCCTCTTGCTCATCCTCAGAAGCTGCCCTTGACTGACTACCCACAGGCCTCTCTCCTGAGCTCCTCCGCACAGGCCACTGGAGCCGCACGGTGCGGGCAGAGCAGTGGCTGTGCTACTGCTTCTGGGGCTCTGCACTCTCAATTCTCACCCAGACTCCACAAGTTTGAGGCCTGAAACCGGCTGACGCGGCACAGGGGCGACGGCCCGGCCTCGCATGTTCCCTCTCCGCGTAAGTTGTGAACACAAAAGCCACCTGCCTGCCTGGAGCTATGCACCCTCCAGTGCTGCTCCCGGGGCTACAGTGAAAGCACGGGGGAGTGGGCGGCCCAGTGGCGCTCAGAATGTCTAACTGCCACCAAGACAACCACCAAGCCAGTGAGCGACCTTGCAAGGTGATCGGTTATCTTCCTCCGTCCTCCCCTGAGGCTCAACTGCAGCACGAAGGGCCTGGCCGGGCCCACCTGCCGCTCACTGGCTCACCTCTGTTCAGTCCTAGTAGTTTTGGCGTGGCCAGAGCCAGAGGCGGGGCGTGGCCAGAGCCAGAGGCGGGGCGTGGCCAGAACCAGGGGCGGGGCGTGGCCAGAACTAGGGGCGGGGCGTGGCCAGAACTAGAGGTGGGCGTGGCCAGAACTGGAGGCGGGGTGTGGCCAGAGCTAGAGGCTGAGCATGGCCCTCCACCTTGGCTCCCTCCGCCTGCCTTTCTGCTGTCCTGTCGGTGTCACTGGGCTGGAGTGACCACTCCCAGGGTGAGAAGAGCCGCTCTTGTAGGGGATGGGGACCGAAGCAGTGCGTGGCAAAGCTGCCTTGCCTGCGCTCCCTCTGTCTACTCTACTCTGCCTCGGTTTATCTTTTGGCTGGAAGACCCTTCCGCTTGCCCTGCTTCACTCAGCCTCCCCTCCTCCCCCCACCTCACGCGCACGCGCAGTACCTGCCACTCGGAGGTCACAGGCCAGGGCCAGCTCCAGGCCTCCGCCCAAGGCAAAGCCATCCATAGCTGCAATGGTGGGCGCGGGGAAGGCCGCTGTGGGACGAAGAGGGGCTGAGTTTGTGTGGTCCCGGCAGGATCAGGACACAGACCCCAGCTGGCAGAACAGAGGGTCCCAGTGGTCCCCTTACTGCCCCAAAGCCAGATTATCTGAGCAGTTGGTTTTCCTACCAGGGAAGGTTCTGGGGTCTCTGGGGAATGGCAGTGGGGGGTAGGCTGGATGGTCTTTGTTCTGACCCTCCCCGGGTCCTGCCCATGTGTGTGCCAAGCCCCATCCTGGTGCTGGGAACACAGACTTGAATGGGATCCGGCCCCTGCTCCAGTGAGCTTCGGCTAGCGGAGAAGGCAAGTGTGTGGCCAGGCAGGGACTCGGGAACTTAGCGCTCCCATAAAAGGAGCCCTGGAGGGTAGGTTGGGAGGGCTTCCTGGAGGGGGCACTGGAGGTCTTGAAGGATGAGTGAAAGCCCAGGCAGCCAAGAAGGAGTACTGCAGACAATCGGAACAGCAGCTGTTCAAGCCTGAAAGCATGTTCGGTGAGCCTGACTCCTGGGATAGCTGGGATTGAACCCTGGGGTGAGGGGCAGGGTCACTAGTGGGGCACGAAGGCTGAACAGCCAGGTCCTCTCTGGTACAAATGCTCTCTGCATCCTCCTGTTCCCTCTTCCTTGTGGAATTCTTTGTGCCCATCCCTCTGTCTCCCACACAGCTCAAAGCAGAGTACTCTCTGCTTGGGTAGGTGGGGATGGGCTGGCGCCAGCAAGAGGACACCCCGCTCCCCGCAAATCCCCTGCCTCCTCCCAGACCCTCACCGATGTCATTCATCAGGCCTCGGAGTCGCTGGACAAAGACCCCCACCTCCGCCGCACTCATCTGCTCCCGCTCCTTCAGGTCAGCACCTGCAGGTGGTGAGGGATTGGTGCCCGCACTTGGGGAAACGGCCCAGGGGTTAGAGATCTAGCAAAGGAAACTAGAAGGGAAGCAGCCAGAGAGGAGGAGAAGCATGAAGAAATGTCACAGCAAGAAGAAGAGTGTCAAAAAGAGCAGCAGCCACAACAAAAGGGCAGACTTTGTCAGAGCGAACAGCTTGTGCTTGAAAGGACCCTAGCAAGAGTGAAAAGACAGCCCACAGAATGGGAGAAGTGTTTGCGATTAGAATCGCTGAAGAATTAGCGTTGTGGTTTGGGGTACCTCCTGGTGAAGCACTCGCCTGGCAGGTATTAGGCCCTGGGGTCAACCCCCAGAACAGCACAAAACAAAATGAAACAAAATAAAACACTCCTACAAGTCAACAAGGAAACAATCAATTCAAAGTGGGCAAACTAGTTAAAAAGATATTTTTCCAGAGAAACTATACAGACGGCCAAGCATGCAAAAAGATGCTCAACATCACCAGTCTTCAGGAAAATCCAAACCAAGACCACAGCGAGATATCAGTAACCATGGGGATGGCTACTACTTAAAACATAAAGATAAGAAGGGGCTGGGGTGCAGCTTGGTGGAAGGGCACGCCTGTGTTCAATCCCAGTACTAGAAATAAACGCAAAAGTCTAGGCATGGGTGTGGAGAAAGCGGAATCCCGGACAGTTGCTGGTGAGAATGTTCTGGAAAGCGGTGTGACAGAGAGGGTTTGGTGGCTCCTCAGGTTAAACAAAACTACCACCGGAGTCCAGTGCTGAGTACATACCCAAAGGAATTGGGCACAGGAACTCAGATACTTGCATGGCAATGCAGGGGGGATCCACAGAATGACCAAAGGTGAAAACGGCCCATGGTCTATCAATGGGTGGGACAGTGAGCACCGGGCTCCGGCCCAGCTGCCCCCTGCACGCACACCTCAGGGGTCAGGGCTCAGCCCAGCTGTGCTCTTGACTTGCTTTTCCTTCTGGGCCAGGGTGCATTTTTCTCCTACCCTTGAAGCAGCAGTTCATAGGACAAAGTGTGTGTGTGGGGGGGTGCATAGGAAGAGCTGGTGTGGGGTCAGAGATGCCAACACCAAACTGAATTCTATTCGGTCCCTTACTAGTATATAGGGTTCTAGGCCAGTCACTTTACCACCCTGAGTCACATCTGTCAGATGGGAATAATGCCTCCTAGGCTGGAGCTGACCTCTTCTCCGTTCCCATCCCTGCAGACCCTGCGACGGGTTAGGGACGGGGACCCACCTGCACAGAACACACCCTTCACAGCGCTTCTGAAGAGCAGGACACGCAAGTGCTGGTCCTCCCGCAGCCGGGCCAGGGCATCCTGCAGCTGTGGAAGACACCCTGTCAGGCACCACTGGCTCAGCCCAGTCCCAGCCGCAGCCCCAAGACGCCCCTTTCTTACCTCACTCACAAAGACATAGCCCAGGGCATTGCGGGCCCCAGGTCTGTTCATCACAATCTCCGTGATTCCTGCAGGGGAGGCATCAACCTGGGGTGAGGGGGCTGGCCCTGCTCACGCCAGGCTGGGGACAAGGTAGGAGGCCAGGCTCCGGAGCCTCTGCCCTCGAGGGGGAGTGTGACTTAGGGCAACCACATACCAGGGCCTCAGTTTTTCCAACTGTAAAGTGGAAAGAATAACCTTTCCTCTTGCTTCACAGAGGAAGCAGGAAGCCTGTAAAGCAAGGAGCAAAATAGGAAGAGGAGCAAGAATGATCTCTGCAGTAGCCCCTGCCTGCTTCACTGGACACGCACACACACGCACACGCATTAGCACACGATGCACACAGGTGCAGGTGCACACCTTCCAGGTCACGGCTTCTGCTATGTTACTGTTCCCTTCACAGCTGAACCTCTGCCTCTTGAGCTGAAGTTATGATAAGGCAAACACCTTTGTAACCATCACCCTGAACCAAGAAGTGGACCTGTGCCAACAGAACTTGCCTCAGAAACCCACCCTGTGCCTGACCCATATCTCCCTCCTTTCTCCAGAGTAACTCTTCTGACTTTCGTGTAATCACGTCCATGTATTTTTTTTTTTTCAGTACAGTACTGGGCTTAGAACCCAGGGAACTGTACCACTGAGCGACACCCCCTGCCCTTTCTTACTTTTTATTTTGAGACAGCATCTTGCTATGCTGCTAAGTTGCCCAGGCTGAGCTTGAATTTATATCCCTCCTGCCTCAACCTTTCCAAGGGGCTGGGATTACTCACCAGGTTTTCATTGTATTACTTTATCATTTTATCACCCAAGTGTGCACCACCAGACATCACAGTTCAGACTCTCTAGTTTTTAGAAATCTGATGTGTCTATTAAAACCCGTTACGACCCTCAGAGTCTTCCCTGGGCCGTCTTTCCCTCAAAAGTCATCTGTTGAGGACACAGGAATGTTTCTCAAAGTCTAGATGTTGTTGCTGGCACCCACGAGAGTGAAGCAGGCTGCTTCTCCTTCACAAGAAACAACTAAAGCCTGAAGCTTGATCGCTGCTGTGTGTCTCTGTTGGCATCTCCTGGCCTCATTTCGTCACATTCTTCGCATCCACTCCCTTAAACTTTCTCTAACCTGGGCCCCTCCCATGGCCACCCACATAACCACATCACCCACAAACCCGCTCAGGCACAGGCTGCAGTCCCAACTCTCAGGCAGATCTCGTGTCTCGGGCACAGACGCGTCGCGGGCTGCAGGCTCTTTCCTTGGTTCTCCATCTCCCAACTGCACCTCTAGTCCTCCGCTTTGCTCTCGCCCACACACACACACATGCCTTGGTCTGGGGCAGAGTTTGCTTTCTAACTGTGTCCTTCCCTTAACTCCCCTTTCTCAAAAACTAGTCTCAATACGCCCACTGGCCCCTCATGATCTGTCCTTGGACCCCGCTTCAGCCTGCACTATCTGGCCAGGTGTGGGCAAGGCAGACAGATTCTGGGCAGGGGCTCAGACACTCTTCTCCCCCACCCCCTGTCCTCCTATAAAATGTCAGGGATGGCTGAGACATATTCCCCAGTCCTTCAGCCTTCCCCGCCCCTTCCGGTTGTCTCTGGGCCCCTCAGCATGCAGAACAGCAGTGTCCATTAGATTGGCAAATGTGAGTGGACCCGAGGCACAGACGGCTGGGGAAGCTCCGCACCACGAAGGGGCGGGTTTGCAGCAGGAGTTACAGAACTGTGCTCAGCGCACAGAACTGTGATGTTCAGGCAAGCAAGGCTTCTTAGCCTCCTGGAAACCTGTAGCAAGCTCTTAGAGCCAGCAGCCTGGTGGCCTTGCAGCTCACTCAGATGGCCCTGTGGCCCTTCCTAGCTCTGGTGCCTCAGAAGAGAAAATGGTGCAACTCTGGGTGGAACAACCATGGTGGACACAAGCATGATCAGAGGCTCAAGAGCCCCATGTCTCATAAACTCACAACAGGCAGTGTGGCAGACCCTGGGCCGCTTGTTCACACCCTCAGCAAGTCCTTCCCCTGAGCAGTCAGGACCTGCAAACTGCTTCTAACCAATGGGAAACAGCATATGGCATAAAATGGCACCTTGAGATCAGATTAAGCTCTATGCAGTAGATGTGACTTTCGTGATCAGGCTGTGGTATACCCCAGCCTCTGTCTGGTCAGACTCCAGGGCCTACACACACAGGACACGTGGCACAATTCTGGGAGCTGAGAGGGATCTTGGCCAACAATCTGCAAGAAAATGGGACTTTGGTCCTACAGCCACAAGGAGGTGAATTCTGTCACCTGCTGGAGAAGCTGGAAGCAGTAAGACCCCCAACCCGCCCACCAGCCCCTAAGACCACAGCCCCAGCCAACTCCACAGCTGTATCCTGGTTAACACCTGACGCAGAAAACACAGCTAAGCTGCGGCTGTACTTCTGACTTACAATAACTGCGGGAGGATAAATGTGTGGTGTTTTAAACAACAGAGTTTGTGATTTTGTTATACAGCAACAGAAGACAAATACAGTCATGATGGCCTGGGATTGAGACACTTTCCCTTCTCTTTGCTTTCCTGTTCTGTCCTTTCTTTCTGGCTTTCATCTTTTTTTTTTTTTTTGACAGTGCTGGGAATTGAACCCAGGGCCTCATATGTGCTAAGTCACAGCTCTGCGACTAAGATTCAGCTCTGGTCCTTTTCTCATCTTTGATCTTCATGTCCTTTCTCCACCTTTATACCCCTCTCTGAACACTGACTGCCAGATCTTACATTCCTTGGCGTAAGCTGCAGGTTGGACAACTAGCTCTAGGGCCTTAGTTAAGTGTCCTTACCCTCTGATCTTCAATTTCCTGATCTGTAAAGAGACGTAAGTAAAAGGCCAATCTGAGGAGTAAGAAATTAAATGTGCCAAAGTGTCTGGCCAGAGTGTGTGTGGTCAGCAGGGCGAAATGAGCAGGGACCAGGGCAACTCTAGGACCTGACAAGACTGCGCCCAGGCCAGGGTCAAGGCGGGGTGTCTTCAGCCTCCAGTTACCCACCTGCACACCCACCTGTCCCTGCCTGTCAGCCTGCACCCTTTCCTCTCTTACCAAGCCCTCCACAAGGCTTTCCTCCAGCTGGCAGAGGTCATCTCTATCTGGATAGTCTAGCGGTGGTGGCGAACCTATGGCACGAATGCCAAGCGCCGCATCGAGGTACATGTATCATTGAAAGCTCTAAAAGGTTCGCCATCACTGGTAGAGAGCAAGGTTAGGTGGTAGGGTGGAGTCAACAGTGGCTGAGGGAAAGCAGAGTGGAGAATGTGTGGTTTAAAACACCCCCCCCCCCACACTCCAAACCAGGGGTGCAAAGTCCTAAAACAAGAGCATCTGCTCAGGTCACAGACACAGCTAACAGTTCTCTCTCAAAGAGTGAACAATTGCTGGGGGCTCAGCAGAGGACCACTTGCCTAGCCTGTGCAAGGCCCTGGGCTCCATCCCCCCACCTACACACACACACACACACACACACACACACACACGCACGCGCACCAGTGCCTGAAACCTCCGACAAAGTCCAGACACAGAAACTCAAAGGCACAGCATGGCCCGGAGTGCTGGGAAGAGCCGTGTAGGCAGAGAGAAAAGGGCGGGAATGAAACAGACGGGAAAGCTTTACCTGATCCCTCGGGGAAGAGAGATGGGAAAGTCAGGCAGTCGGGGAAATCTACAAACGGCCAGCGAGGAGCCGAGCAGCCGGGCTCCACCAGGGGTAAGGACAGTGGAGGGTGGGTGACTCGCCACTCCCCTCTCCGGGGTACCCGGTTCCATGTGGCGATACTGATGGCATTTTCTGGGGCTCTCTACCGGGTGTGAGCTCTTCCTCACATCTCGCTGCTTCCTCTGGGCTTCCTTTTCTCCGTCCCTCACTGACTTCTGGAAGTGGTGGAGCTTAATCTGGTGAGCTTTGCTATTCATTTATACATAAAATGATTGAAATATCTATGGGGAGCCCGAAGCTCTATTACTCCCCACCACTTTGTATTTCTTTTTTTTTTTTTTTGGTTTTTTTTTTTCCGGTACCGGGAATCGAACTCACGACCTCGTGCTTGCCAGGCAGGCGCTGTGCCGCTGAGCTAAATCCCCAGCCCCCATTTTGTATTTCCTGATGGGCCCATCTGTCTAAGTCACTGAATACCTCAAAGAATCAATGACGACCCCATGACTGAGAACCCAGGTTAATCAGACCTGGTTAGGGTTGCCAGCCCTCAGCCCCTCAGTGTCCTAGCCAGCACAGTAGGGAGAACTGTAAAGCTCTCATCGCAAGCGCTGTTGTGCCAGTGAATCAAGCATGACTGGGACTCCCTAAGTCCAGCCACCCTACCTGGTCGGAGAAATTCTTACCAAGTGATGTAGTGGGACACTGGTGGCCACTGTGTCCATCAAAGCGGTGGATCGCTGGGCCTGGTACTGCAGGCCTGTAATCCTAGCACTCTGGGAGGCTGAGGCAGGAGAATCGCAAGTTTGAGTCCAGCCTGGGCAATTTAGCGATTTAGCAAGACCTTGTGTCAAAAAACCAAAACGGCTGAGGATGTACCTCCGTGCCAAGACCCTCACTCATCCCCAGTAGCGGGTAAGGGGAGAGGTCCATGCACTAGGAAGTCTTACACAACACCTGGAAGCAAGGAGTTTATGTGGAAAAGCAGCTCTTCAAACCTCAGTGTCAGAAAATTGAGCTACATTTTTTTATATGCACCCACTTCGCACAATGATTGTAATCAATGTGTACAACAAATATGTAGTCATTTTTTTAAAAAGGTGTCGGCATAAACAGCAAGAAAGTCAAACGTACAAGGCAACGCAAAAGACGAATAAATCAAATGCCAGGGAGAGGAAATACGGGTGGGGGTAAGGAAAGACAAGGGTTGGTTCTGCGCAGCGGACTGAGGAGCCCGAAGGGCGCGGCGGAACGCACCGCAAGTCCAAAAACAAAACAAACACGCAAGCGAGCCCCAACCCCAGAAGGCGCCCTCCGCCCGCCCCCCGGGCTCCCCGCGGCGCCGCGCCCCTCAGGATTGGCTCCGCCG